CACCCCTGGTCTAGACATTCATTCATTAACTGTGCATGCTGAGAGCATATAAGCCTCCAAGACAATTCAGTGGACTTGTCAGCTGTCCAGCTAACCGCAAGTCACTCGGGAAGGCCTTGTGAATATGATAAGAGTGGATTGGGACCTAGTAACCCATCTTCTTGATGGATCACGGGAGGTTTTAGAGGGAGGAACCTCAAAGGAGAGATACAAAGAAATGGGAAGGAAGCCACTGATCAGGAAAAGCAGGTGGAGGAGAGAAGCACTGGTTATCCTCTCTTCCAACCCCGATTCTCTCCTGCCTTCTCCTGCAGTTAGAGCACCCGTACAAATCCAAGAAAGCCGCGTGGCACAAATTGCTCTCCAAGCAACGGCGGCGTGCAGTGGTTGCGTGCTTCCGCATGACGCCCCTCTATAACCTGCCCAGGTGAGTTAATACAGCTGGATTGGCTGGTCCACCGATTGGAATAAGTATCATTCCATCCATGGATTCATCTCTTCCAGCCAGAATTGGACAACTCGCCTCCTCCGCCAACTCGCCTCAGACAACTCACCATGGTCAACTCACACCATGGACAGCTCTCTGCAGGACAATTCAACAATTTAATTATTTAAAATATTTTTTAAAAGTATTTTAATTATTGTCATTCACATTTCATTTTCTCCCTCCTTTGGCATTCATTCTTTCTTTAACAGCAGTAGCTTAGACTTTTTACCACTTCACGGTGATATATAACAATTCGATTTAATTATTTAAAATGGTTTTTTAAAAGTATTTTAATTTTTGTCACTCAAATTTCATTTTCTCCCTCCTTTGGCCTTCATTCTTTCCTTAATAGCAATAGCACCTAGACTTATAGACTGCTTCATAGTACTTTACATCCCTCTCTAAGTGTTTTAGAGTCAGCATATTGCCCCCAACAATCTGGGTCCTCGGAAGGATGGAAGGCTGAGTCAACTTTGAGCTGGTAGAATCGAACTGCCAAATTGCAGGCAGCCAGCAGGCAGCAGAAGTAGCCTGCAATACTGCACTCTAACCATTGCACCACCGAGGCTCATGATTAATGATTCTATTCGACTATTCCTTCGATATTAATGTAGCTCTTGTCCCGTGACAAGTTGTTCTGCAGTGAGTTGGCCATGGTGAATTGTCCTGTGGCAAGTGGGCCAAGGCGAGTTGGCCATGGCAAGATGCCGAGGGCGAGTTGTGTTTCCCTAACACTGCCAAAATGGGAATCATCTGGCTGGGGTGGAGGACATGATTGACCTGCCTTTCTGCTTCTCAGGCATCGTGCTTGCAACATGTTCCTGGAGAGCTACAAGTATTCCTGGATCTTCAGTGAAGAGCATCCCTTTGAAGACAGAATGATCGACGATCTATCTGTGAGTCTTCCTGGGGGAAAGAACCTGAGGTCGACTGGGGGTGGGGATGGTTTGAATGCTCGTCCCATGGTAGTTGTTTAGGGCAAATGCTACATTAGATCTGATTTCTAATTGCTCTTTTTCCTATTGTGGGATGTGGGATGTAGAAACCTGGGCCACAGGAAGAGGAAGAGGAAGAGGAGCAGGAAAAGAAGCCAGACCCTTTGCATCAGCTCATTCTCCATTTTAGCAGGACAGCGTTAACAGAAAAGAGGTTTGTAGCGGCAGTAGAGTCCAGAGCCCAGCGTGAATTTGGGTTCAAAAAGGATGAAGTAGCCACAGCTGAAACGTTCTGCCTTGATGTAGAAGGGTGGAGTCAAGAGAGGAATCAGCCTGGAATCATTACGTTCTCACAAGTGGTCGAAGTCCAATCTTCTTGAATTCTATTAGCTCTTATCAAGTGACAATTTAGTGCCGATCATTGGTTGACTTAGAGCCTTGGGTAGAGGCATGAGCAATAGTTCAACTGGGACTTAATGTGTGGGCCTGATCCTGGACTATGATGCAAGAGTGAGGGAGATGTTCGGGGGGACATCAAGATTCAACCAAGGGATAGGATTCTTACCGGTTCGGGCAAAACAGATGTTAAATTTGAATCTGGTTTGCCGAACCAATATTTGAACCGACTGACTGGCCCGGCCCGGCCCTCCCAGGAGTCTCCATGTGGCCCATTTTCACGGAGACTATGGGAGGGAGAAAAACAGGCCTTCCAGAAGTCCAGAAACGGGCCTATTTCTGGCTTCCGGAGGGCCTCCAGAGCCCAGGGAGGCTGTTTTCGCCCTCCCAGAGGCCCAAGGGAAACCTCCAGACTCTGGGGAAGGCAAAAAACGCCCCTCCCGGAAGTTCTGGTAGGCCACGCCCACCATGTCCACATGACTATTTTTCACACTTTTACAACTATTGCAGCATCCCCACAGTCACGAGAGACCAGGCGAGGAGATGCGTGCCTCAATGTGAGTGATATTGAGTTGGCCACGTCCATGCAGTCACATGACCACCAAGCCATGTCCACCCAGTCACATGACCACCAAGCCACGCCCACCACCTGAGCTATACCCGCAGAACCGGTTGTTAAAAATGTTGAGTCCCACCTCTGCTCTTGTCCATGATCATCCTTTATCCTCCATAGAAGTGATAGAGGTTCTCCTAGGGCTGATGGAGTAAGACGTCTGCGTGGCTCGTAGGGCCAGTTTTCTACCACTTGAGGCCCTTCAAGCTTGGTTGCCTTGAAACTTCCAGGAATTCTTGGCCGATTTGAGGAGTTGGAATTCAGTTTTATCTGGAGGAGGATGGACTGTTGCTGATCCTGAACTTGTTTACTTTATTTCAGCAAACTGGATGAAGACTATCTGTACATGGCCTACGCTGACATCATGGCCAAGGTAAGGAAGAGATGGACCATCATTTCAGTCTTGCTTCAAATGCTGAATGTCGTGCTATGTTGTCGTCGCTTCTGTGCCTGCAAATGCTGCACCAAACATTTTGTGGCTCGTTGGCTGTTCACCAAAAATGGGTGGGGCAGGACCCGTTGGTGGGAAGGTTTGGGAGAAAGGGGGTGCAACCCATTTTTGGTTCTTATATGTACTCTGGAATGGGTCATGGCTGGAACAGTATCAGACACAAGCAACCAAATCCACATGTGAAGTATTCAAGTTGACTACTGTACTTTATTGTGTTCTACCTGTCAGGATTCCAGCAATTACCCCAATTAAATCATGAGTCTCAAGCCAAACTTTCAAAACTTCAAAAGGATTTATTGGGAATTAACATGGCCAGCACTGCCTGGGTGTAGCCGACTCTGAGACACGTAATTCACTGTCACCCTTGACCCTGGTTTTCCCCCACCCCCTGGGTGTATTGTAATTCATATTCTCCAATGGGACACATCCATAGCCAAGAATCATCAATCATGCTCTCCAGTTAGAATTTTGCCTGGCAGAAACCTCAGTCACCTAGTTACTATCTTTGAAAACTATGTATGGAATGCCCTTTCGGTTTGTAAGCTGCCGCACTGCTCCCCCCTCCCTTTCTGTTGGCAACTCTAAAAAGACCATGGAAATATTTTATGAGTTGACACTGCCTATACTACAAGAATCTCCTCGGTCTGCTTGCCTTCGCTTGGGAACAAACAGATAAGGTCCCATGGAACTTAGGCGGTGTCAGATCTAAATCTTTTGCAGTTGTGCAGGGACTCAAGGCTAACTGCCTGCTTGATCCCTCCTCCATTGCCAGGCTTGGGAGTTTTCCAGCAGACAGTTGTGGAAATATATCATATATCTGTGTTGTTACTCACCCCTTTTTTTCTTTTTACTCCCTGGGACTTTAGAGCTGTCACATTAATGAAGGAGAAGAAGGCGATGGGGAAGAGGAAGAAGTGCCGTTTGAGGTTAGTGACTTCTCTCTTCTCAACTTCCCAAATTGGTTTTTGGACACTTTAGCCTGCAGGTCAAATCTGGTCAAATCTTCCTTCTTGATTAGATGACCTGCATACTCCCAACTTGCCAAGAGGGTCAAAACGATCCAGATGTGAAAGTGAATCCCATATTTCAAAAATAGGAAAATGACAGCCTAGCACAGTTGGTAGATGCACTTCTGCTTACAGATGTGGGAGATGTGATGACCCAAAGGGGCGTGGCACAAAGGCAACACAGTCAAATAAGCAAGAAGAGTCCCTTTATTATCTCCAACTTTGCCCCCAATGTCCAGGTTACCTTCAGCTGGAGAAAAACTCTCCCAGGAACAGCCTTTGACTGTAGAAAATTCAGCCCAAAACAAGGTACACACAAGCTGTAACTCAAAATCCAAACAAACCAAGCTGAAGTAATTAACTTGACAGGGCAGGAGAAGGAATTTCACACAGTTGAACTCACACAGTTGGGAAGACACCAGGAACACAGATAAGCCTCAACAATACCAGATAAATTCATGTTTGCTTCCAACAACTTGCTGTGCGCAGCTTCCTATTTTATACACTATGTTCCCAGCTGCGGCTAATGAAGGGAATCGGGGCCCTTTCCTCCCCCGTAAGCCACTCAACTCGCTTTGCTCTCTTCTCTGTTCCTCCCTGCATGCCCTATGATGAAGAGGGAGTGGGCCTGGGTCTTCCTCTGAATTCCCTCTCCCTTGCTCTGCCCAGCCAGACTTTGCCCTTCCCCAGTTTCCTCCACAGCCAACAGAGCTCCCACTCCCTGTCAGCTGTTCGGCTTCCCCCTCTGAGTCAGATTCCAACAGCGGCATGACAGGAGAAGGGAGATCCCTTCAAAAACCTCGTACCATCTAGTGAACATTCATAAAAATAGCAGGAGAGACCTGGGGTGTGTCAAACCTGCCTAATCCATCATTCCATGTCCGCCTAATGGCCAAACAGATGCAGAAGGGGAGTTCAACCATCCTTGTCATTTTCCAATAGCTGATGTGTCAAGGATACTGCCAAAAATGCAGGAGGTGATAAACAGCCATCAAGATCAATAGCGTTTGAAGGCACTTCCATGAATTCGTCCACTCCCCTTCTAGAATCTTCTAAATGACCACGAAGATTCAATTCTGCATTATATAAAGAAGTCTCTCCTCTTATTAATTTCTCATCTTCATGTAGAGTTTGATCTGGTTAAGGCACCAGGCTAGATAGCGGGAGTTCTAGTCCTACCTTAGACATGAAAGCCAACTAGGTGACTTTGGACCAATTGCTAGGAGATGGTGAATTCTAGTCTGGCCCTAGGCACGAAAGTTGGCTGGGTGACTTTGGTGCCAGTCACCAGGAGACGGTGAGTTCTAGTCCCGCCTTAGTCATGAAAGCTGGCTGGGTGACCAGTCACTCTCTCTCTCTCAGCCCAATCCACTTCACTGGATTGTTGTTGTGGGAAAAATAGGAGAAGATGTGGTGGATATATTGTATGTGTTGCCTTATATTGTAAAGGTAATAACGGTGGGATATAAACAAACAAATACATTTCATTTTTAGCGATTGACTTGAATTTTAATGTTTGCGAAGAGACATAGGAAAACATGAGAGACAAAGGAAGTTCTACCTTTTGGCAGCTTCTAAAAAGCTGCACACCACCCAGGCAGGCCCCAGAAAAACACCTGGAATGCTTGTATCTGAATTTTGGACACCAATCGAAGAAGTCTCCCCGTCTTCCGCCTGTAACCTCCTCCCTCCTACTCCTTTGTCTTCTTGCAGGAAAAGGAGATGGAGAAGCAGAAACTTTTATACCAGCAATCCCGACTTCACAACCGTGGAGCAGCCGAGATGGTCCTTCAAATGATTAGCGCCTGCAAAGGTTAGGAAGGATCCTACTTTATCCTCCCTCTTTATCTCTGGCAAAGAATGGATTACTTCATCCCAAGAAGTAACCTTAATTAATTAGTCAGGAAGGACCATAGCTTATTTACAAAGCTTATAATTTAAAATTTACTTTACAATTTACAAAATAAATGTTTGTTTGGTGAGCATTCGAAGAAGAAGTTGTTGTAAGGGCCAAGCATGGATATCATCACCCTGTACCAAAAGAAGATACAGGAAGGACCGGAGTGGGAGGGAGAGAAAGAAGAACAACTTGGTGGAGAGTATATGAACATGCCCTTGAGGTCTTGATAGTAGGAAGAGGAAGGTATTGCTAATATCTTCTGGCATTAAACTTTAGTCTAACAACAGTGAAGTCAAGACCCAAGAACCATAAGTGAAGTTGCTTCTTAGTTTCTTTATTGTTTTTTCACTTACAGACAGAATCTTGCCAGACTAAAGCAGCTATCTGCATAACTATAAATGTATTCTGTGAACGGCTAAGGAGAGGCAAATGAACATGTCCTTGCAGTCTTGATAGTAGGAAGAGGAAAGTATTGCTAATATTAGTCTGGCAAGACTGATGTCACAAAGACCAAGAAGAACACATGGAATTACTTCTTAATTTCTTCATTGTTTTTTCACTGATAGACAGAATCTTGCCAGACTAAAGCAACTATCCACATAACTTTAGATGTATTCTGTGAACCGCTAAGGAGGGACCGTCTTAGCCCTCTTCCTCCCTCCCAGACATGCCAAACTCCACTGCCTCTTTGCCATCTGGGAAAAAGCCCCTCCAGACTACAGGTTGTCCTCAACTTACGACAGTTCATTTAGTGACTGCTCCAAGTTACAACAGCACTGAAAAAAGGGACTTACGATCGTTTTTCACAAGTAGGACCATAGCAACTTCCTTATAATCACAGGTTCAAAATTCAGATGCTTGGCAACTGGTTCATATCTATGATAGTTGCGTTGTCCCGGGGTCTTGTGATCCCTTTTTGTGACCTTCCGACAAGCAAAGACAAGGTGGGAAGCAGGATTCGCTTAACGACCATCTTACTCACTTAACAATTGCAATGGTTCACTTAACACTTCTGATGAGAAAGATCGTAAACCGGGGCCAAACTTTCTTAACAACTATCTTGCCTAGCAACATAAATTTTGGGATGAATTGTGGCCGTAAGTTGAGGACTGCCTGTACTGTAAGTAATGCTGTCCATCAACCTTTTTCTCTCTCTTTAGCTATAGGAATTAGAAACTTGCTTTGCTTTTGAGTTTACATTTTTAGGATCTTGGCTAGATTTCCGATTTTGGGAGAGAGGTGGCTGGAGAAACTTTTCAAGGTCTTAAACAGTCACATTTTGTTGTTTCAAACTAAACATTAGTTAGAGCCATTTCTGCGGGCACGCAAACCCCAGCCAAACTTACCTGCACTGCACATGCGTGCGCCTCCCAGCTGATTTTGGGCCTGTTTGAGGTCAGTTTTGCCCTCCTAGAGGCTCGAGGAAAGCCTTTGCAGCCTTGGGAGGCTGAAAAATGGGCCTTCCGGAAATACCGGAAGTGTCGAAACGGGCCCATTTTCAGCCTCCCGAGGTTTCCCTCGAGCCTTCGGGAGGGTGAAAACGGCCTCCCCCGGGCTCCAGAGGCCCTCCGGAGGCTGAAAACGGGCACTTCCGGTATTTCTGGAAGGCCTGTTTTTCGGCCTCCCGAGGCTGCAGAGGCTTCCCTCGAGCCTCCGGGAAGGTGAAAACAGCCTCAAATGGGCCAAAAATCAGCTTGGAGGCGCACGCATGCACAGTGCAGGTAAGGGGGTGAGGCAGAGGTGTTGTGCGCACATGCACGGGGGGGGGCAGGGGGCATTGCATTGTGGGGGCTGACGCATACGCGCTTTCGGCACACCACAACAAAAAGGTTCGGCATCACTGTTATAGTGCTTTAGCTTTGCACAGCATTTCAAGAGCCAGTAGTCAGGTGTAAGGAATCGAAACAACAAATTATGTTCCAGTTAAGATGATTTATTACTCGTGCCTGTATACAAGAATCTAATCAAAATGGTCAGCAGTAAATTGCTGCTAAGTAAAAGTTAATGGAATTCAAAATGGACCAGACTTAGAACGTCTGTGGGAACATAAGGATTCCAGGCTGGTTCCTCTCTTGATTCCGCCCTCAGGCTTCTCCTACATCATTCAGGGTCTAAGATCCCTTCTTATTTGGTTTTGGAGAAGAAAGTCACTGTGTTCCAAGACAAGAGATGTCATGAAATAATTTGGTTTTCTGCCTTGACAGGGGAGCCTGGGGCCATGGTTTCCTCTACTCTGAAATTGGGCATCTCCATCCTAAATGGTGGCAATGAGGATGTACAGCAGGTAAGAAGAAGGAGGCCAGGATTTTTGGCAGGTTCTTCCTTTTGCTAATTCTTGGAGACTGAGAAATAGTTTACTCCAAGGTTAAAAGACTGGATGGAGTATAAAATTGGGACAGAGAGGGGGAAGTGGTGGGCAGAGTTGGAGAACAGTGATTCAGTGGAAAGCATTCTGGAGAACAGCTGGTGGGTGGGAGACATCTTTAAAAGAAGAGTGAGAGCAAGCTACAGATCAAATGGATGTTCATTTTGGATAGCTACCATGGACCTTCCTCCAAAACATAAATAGACTTGTAGAATTAACTCAGGAGTCCTCAAACTTGACAGATTTAAGACTTGTGGACTTCAACTCCCAGAATCCCTCCTCCGGTCATGTTAGGAATTCTCGGAGTTGAAGTCCACAAGTCTTAAACTTGCCAACTTTGAAGATAGGATAGGATAGGATAGGATAGGATAGGATAGGATAGGATAGAATAGAATAGAATAGAATAGAATAGAATAGAATAGAATAGAATAGAATAGAATAGAATAGAATAGAATAGAATAGAATAGAATTCTTTTATTGGCCAAGTGTGATTGGACACACAAGGAATTCGTCTTGGTGCAAATGCTCTCAGTGTACATAAAAGAAAAGATACATTTGTCAAGAGTCAAGAATCATCAGGTACAACATTTAATAATAGTCACAGGGTACAATAAGCAATCCAATCATACTTGGAAACAGTCCATATAAATCGTAAGGATACAAGCGAGAAAGTTACAGTCATACAGTCACAAGTGGGAGGGGATGGGTGATAAGGAGTGATGAGAAGATTAATAGTAATAGTAGTGCAGACTTAGTAAATAGTTGGACAGTTTTGAGGGAATTATTTGTTTAGCAGAGTGATGGTGTTTGGGGAAAAATCTGTCCTTGTGTCTCGTTGTTCTGGTGTGCAGGGCTCTATAGCGTCATTTTGAGGGTAGAAGTTGAAACAATTTATGTCCGGGATGTGAGGGGTCTGTAGAGATTTTCACAGCCCTCTTTTTGACTTGTGCAGTATTATACAGGTCCTCCATGGAAGGCAGGTTGGTAGCCATTGTTTTTTCTGCAGTCTGTGTCTGTCTTGTTGGGTTGCAGAACCAAACCAGACAGTTTGCAGATGACAGACTCAATCATTCGTCTGTAGAACTGGACCAGCAGCTCTTGAATTAATGGAAGGACTTGGGGCCTTTCTGTCTCACCACATGATAGTCCCCTTTGAAGCATCTGGTTTTCAGGGTTGGGAGAAGGTACACCACCAGATTCCCTCACGAGGGGACTGGAAGGCTCTGACTAAGTCCGTGCAATGGAGGATGATGTGGTTCTCCTTCCATCTATAGTACGGTCCTTCTGTAGATTAGACCTTCAGATCTGTAGGTGTGAAGAACAATGATCTATGAAGATAGGAACCTGCAGTGTTATGTTGTATGATTCGCCAAAAGCTAAACATTAGGTTCTCTGGTCCTTTCCAAATGTTGACTCTCTCTCTTTCTTCAGAAAATGCTGGATTATCTGAAGGAGAAACGTGAGGTGGGATTCTTCCAGAGTGTCCAGGCACTAATGCAGACCTGCAGGTACGTAGTGGTATCTTCTACTTTTTTCTTTGGTTTCAATACTTCTCATTATCTTCTTGTCCACGGTCTGGCGCTTGAAGTCTTCTAGATTCAGCAAGATCTACCGACTGGATAAGATCTATTTGTGGAATTATAAACTTGCAAATTTCAGTCCATGTCTCTTTCCCATACTTCTGGTTAAAAGGGAAGGCTGTGAAAGACTTCGACTTCACTGATGGGTCCTCTCTGGGGACAGGGAAATGCCAAGAATGTTGAGGTCACCATGAGTATCTCCTGGAGAGAGATGGGAAGAAATGAGAGATGCACTCCAAGAAGATGTGGTGGACTAAAGCTTGGAGCTCCATAAAAGCAATTTGGGAAGGACTATGGGGACTCCAGATTTGAGGATGACTTCCTATAAGCCACCTTTTCCATCTGTGGGACTGCTGTGTATGCCTGATATTTAATTTCCCACAAAGCTTTAAAGCTAAGTTGGGGCATCACAGGAAATTAAGATGGTGACTCAGATCAAGAGGTAACATCACTAGGGCATCTGTTGGCCAAGCAGTTGTTTTGCCTGCTGCTGCTCAAGATGGAGTCCTAAGACACAAAAAGAATAAGATTATTTGTGAATGAGGTAACACATAGTAAGGAAGCTTTCTTGTTGGATCTGTCTTGGTCCAGAGAAATTCAGTAGAAGTTAAACTAGGTCAGTGTTTGTTGTGGTTACAATGCACGGGTGACTCGGGAGTAAGGCTGCAAGGCTGCCCCTCCTTCAAGAAGATAAAAGCCAGCTGTGAAAGGAACATACTTTGCAGAAGGCAAAGACGTTTTGAAACCCCAGCCTTGTGGACATTCCAGTATCCTGAGTTTGTATTTGAAGATTCTTGTATTGCAAATTATTTCTTGTCTGTTATCTTTGGGCAAGTCTCGTACAGTTTGGCAAGGCTTGTGCTTATCACAGCTAATTGTTTTGCAAAAGCATTACAAGGTTTCTGTTCCCTTTGGATGGTGTTTGATTTGTTGGAAAAGAGCGTGGGTCAGAACAATATTATAACCGTCATCCTGGGAAGCTGCTACCCCAGTGTTTATTGGTCCTGCAACTGCTATTCTACTGTGTCCTCACCTCCTGTTCCGTACCTCCCCTTCATTTGCAGCGTGCTGGACCTCAACGCCTTTGAGAGGCAAAACAAGGCTGAAGGACTTGGGATGGTAACAGAAGACGGAACAAGTAAGTCCTTCTACCCTGGTTGAAGTGCTCCAGCAAATCGACCAAGAACAAAGCTCATCCTGTTCGTCTCGGCTCTTCTGCCTCCTGAGGCAGGCGGGAGGCAGCACCCTACCCTCCTTCCAAACCTCCCAAAGTTGAGTTTGGCCACCAGATTTTGGGGAGGGGAGGCCCCCATGGCCCAAAAATATTCAGCAGGGGAAGGCCAGGAAGCTTTGCATGTGATGCATCATCTCCTGGTTTATGTTTGCTGGAAAACATCTTCCTGGGCAGGATGTGGAGCAGGCTCAGCGTTGTTTTGAAGGAGGGGGGCAGAGTTTGCATCTCTGGGGACGGATGCAAAAGAGGTTTTTTTCCCCCCCAAGATGGACACTGGCTTCTTTCCCAAGCCTGCCCAGTGTTCATCCTCTCCCTCCTCTTCCTCCAGTCCTCTGCATATCCTCTTTGTGTTCACTGCTTCCTTCTGATAAGGCGCGGATTAATTGAGATCCCTAAAACCAATAATGGATTTTCCCCATCCTTATTTCCCTTCCTCCACTCCAGGTTTTCTGGTCTCATCCGTTCTCTGTTCCACGTTAAACGGCATTTTAATCTATTTTGATTTTATTTTGCTCCCTCTCTCTGGTTTATAATGGTCTCCTTTTCCTTCTGGGACTCACCTCCTCTCTCCTCCTTCCTCCTTCTCTCCCTTCCCCTCCCCTCCCCTCTCCTGGTGTGACCGCTGCCCCCTCCCCCAGTCATCAGTCGTGAAAATGGTAAATAATCTCTTTTGCTTTTTGTGAAATTGTGGTGTTTTTTTTTCCTTTGATGGTCAGTTTCTCGGCTTCTTTTCTTTTTCTTTTCATTTTAATTGCCCTTTTCTAACCCGAGAGATTGAAAGCTAGAAAGAAAGAAAGAAACTGATCAGAACCCCCCTTCCTCCCATTTCCTCCCAACCCTGGTTTAGAATCTAGGATCCTAGAACCCCCGAAGGAATTCACCACGGGTGTCTAACCAACTAGGGGCTGCAAACGGAAGGACCATCAGAAGGCCCTGCATTTTGGAACTACTAGATCAGGGAACTGCAAACTTGGCTACTTTAAGACTCATGGACTTCAAACTCCCAGAATTCCCCAGCCAGCCTGGCTGGCTGGAGAATTCTGGGAGTTGAAGTCCACAAGCCTTAACGTAGCCAAGTTTGAGGAGCAAGGTGAATGTCGCGATGGGGATTCTCAGAAAGAACTTCGATGAAGTGTGCTCAAGTTTGTGTTGGGAATGGTTGGGTCGTCTACAGCCACATGTCCTTAGGAATCTGAAAGTTCTAGACAGCTCCAACTCTACAGTCTTCAGACCGGACTTGATATTGGTGATCAAATCCCCAAATTACCTCAACTGAGAATCTGGGCTTTGCCTGGAATCTCAACTGAAGCAAGACAGGAGGTTATAACCTCTGGTCCTGTCAAGGATAATGGTAGATAGATCCCTCCACGGTTGAACCATCTGTGCTTCTCAGTTGGAGGTGGGCTGACTAGCTAGGTTGGTCTGTTCTTTGGAAACTGGGCCTTGATTCATGGACAGGATGGCTAATTTTCTCATTCAAGGCCTAAGAAAGGAGCAGTTTTGGATAGTCAACTCGGAAGACCAGCAGCCAAGCTAGGTTTCAACCCTAGTTGGAGAAACCCCTGCAGTTTGGTGTTTCCTGGGATTCCACTGAAGTTCAAAGTTCACGATGGGGTAGCTTCCCCACCATGGAAGACGGTTGGGTTCTTCCCTGACAATGAGAAGAATCCAACAATCTTCCATGTTAGGGAAGCAACTTGCTTTTGAGTGAAGGCATCATGATCAGCCAGGACCTGGCTGAAAAAAACATAGAAAGATAAATAGAATAACTTTATTGTCATTATGTATACTAATTGGTATACACTGAAATTAAATTTTGTTGTATACACCTCTCAAAGGATCACCACTTCCAATATGCCCTACATAAACATGACAGGATAATAAATAAAAAAAATACAAAATTATGCATATACCCACATATATTATATAACCCATAGAAACAACACAGTCTAGTTCATATGTACATGGTGAGAAAAACAAATCTTGCGAGTTTACCAGACGGATGGCCTAGGGAACAATTCTGTTACAGAATCTGGAAGTCCTGCTAGAAATACTTCAAAACCTCCTCCCAGAGGGAAGCAACAGAAACAGACCGTAAAGTGGGTGTGTGGGATCTCCAACAATGCTTTGAGCTCTAAGCACATAGCACTTATAAGCAGTATCCTGAATTACGGGAAGCGAGCTTCCTATATAATATAATAATCTTGGTTGTCCTCACCACTCTCTGTAGGGACTTTCTATCTGAGGCACTGCAGCCACCAAACCAAACAGTGATGCAACATGCAACCCATTCCACCCGTGTCTAACCCTGAACTGTTGGAGGGGGTTCTGATCAGTCTCCAGAGGGGGCAGGAAAGTGTCTTGAACTCTATTTAGTGCATGTCCTTTAGTTGATGAATTTTCCCCCAGTACCACATTCTACCTTCCCTCCCCAAAAAATTCAAATTGGCATTCTGCACATTGTCTTCTTGTAAGCGATGCCCCTGCCTACTTTGGATGCAGACCTCAATTCTTCACCCACCCACCTGTCCTTTTCTTCTTCGTCCCATTTTCAGAAGTCTTCAGTGTAGCACATTTTGTTGCCTCCGTGCCTGCATTTTCCCGCCATTTTGTTCACAGCAATGTTGCCCCGCCATTTTGTTCATAACAGACTTATTTGTTGCCTACCGGCAGTGTTGTCCCAGCTTAGACTGGTGACAAAGGAGGGTGCAAGCTGCACAATTGTGTGGCTGTGTTGGTGGCATAAGTGCTTTGTAACAGTGCAGCTGTTGAATCCTATGTCTTCAGTACCTGTGTAGATATTTTCTAATGTTTTGTGTTTTGAAAAGGAGTGTGTCTGTGTATTTGCAGGACAGGTGGGTTAAGCAAGTAGAAAAGTTGCAAACTAGTATATTTACTACGCTTTCTTGGGCCTCAGCCCTGTAGATAAACTTTGTCCCTCTCTTAAGAAATGTTGTATACTGTACATAAGCCCTTGACTTTAGTGACTGGATTTACAACAGCTTTGAAAAAATGGGAATTATCAACGGTCCTTAAATTTAACGACCATCGGCACAATCCTAGCAGTCGTGTGATCAATATTTGGACCCTTGGCAATTGGCAGGAGTAACATTATAGTAAATCTGTAGAAATTGAGATAAGGGACATTTTTGGCATCTGAAATTGCATTATCCTTTAGGTAACCGTATTCTTATTAAAATCCTGGTTTAATGCAGGAAAGTCTATATTATTATACCACTATCCAGTATTGTTCTTGCAAGTGGTCTTCTAATATTACAGTAACATATTTCTAAGAAGCTCTCATAATAGCGCTTGTTCTAGTAATTGATATAACCTTTCTGTCTCTCTCTCTCTCTCTGTACTAAATGTTCTTCTACTATAGTAATCTTATAGCAACCACATTATGGCCTTCCTTGTAGTAACTCACCTTAGCACAAGAGCCATATCCGTAGATTACATTCACCCCTCGTAAACCTCCTGTGTTTTGTGCTTTTAGACAGGAATGTGCAGTGTTTTCAGGTAGGACCAAAGAATAATAATAATAATGAGGTCTGGATTTAAAAAAAATAATTTCATTCCAATTTAATTCAAGTTAAATTAATGCAATGCATACCAAGTAATTTATGGTGCTCCCCTTTTGTTAGAAATTACAATTAAGAGGACAATTTTGAAGAGCCACATCTTGGGGTCTCCAGATTTGAGTATTTGTATTCTTGCAGTTGTAGCTGTCCTGTCTTTCTAACCATGTTGTAACCATGTTGTCCTGCTTAGCACCTTTGCTTTCTCAGATTTTATTCAGTTGGGTTTTTGAATGGCCTGGGGGTTTTCTGATTCAAATTGCCTTCAGATAAAGTCATATTTAATGAGGTAACTCGGAGCAGCTTCCATCTACAACTGTACAGGTAGTTCTCAACTTACAACTGTTCGTTTAGTGGCTGTTTGAAGTCACAACAGAACTGAAAAAAAGTTGACCTGTGACCGTTTTTCACACTTACGACTGCGGCAGCATCTCCACAGTCACGTGATCAAAATTCGGACGCTAGGCAACTGGTTCATATTGATGACGGTTGCAGCGTCCCTGGGGGTTACGTGATAAGCCCCAGGAATCACATGACAAGCCAAGTCAATGGGGAAGCCAGATTCATTTAACAGCCGCCGTGGTTCACCCGACAACTGTGGCAAGTAAAATGGGGTAAACCTCGCTTAACAACTGTCTGGCTTAACAAGAGAAATTTTGGGGCTCCGTTGTGGTCGTACGTCGAGGATTACCTGTCCCCAGTTTTGAAGGGAAGGTGGCAGTTCTCGTGGGGAAGGGATGACCTGTGTTCATCCTGGAGACAGCGAAGGCAACTTCACCAACAGTGGAAAAGGGATCAGTCATTGATGCCAGTTGGGACATATGAATCCCACCGAAGGAAGAAAATTGCCTTCATGTGAATGGGGAGGGCAGGCAGGCTGCCAGTCCTTGCCCTCCTCATGCTAAAGTTGGATTCATATCTTCATTAATGACCAAGGCCACAGAACGGATGATGGACCTTCTTCTACCACTAATTCTATTAACCTTCACGGGACAGGGCTGGTTCCTGGGTATCTTAATTCTTGTTTTCTTCCTGATCCGTATCGATCTCTATCTCCTTCCACCGCTGTCTTGTCATGCTGGATTTTCTTTGCTTGCATTTCCTTCGTCCTACACTGATCCTCCCTTCCTGTGTTGTGTGTCTCAGTTAGCCACGAAAAGGGCCGTTCCCCTGAATGACACGGCAAAGACCGTCCTCAGCCACCAAACATAATGGCAAGCGAGCAGAAGCACGTCAACCGTGGTTCATCCGAACTCTATGCGGTTCTCCCGCCCTCCTCTCTGCTCTCCCACCATAACGCCTCTCATTCCTCCCCTCCCAAGGTTGAAATTCCATCAGGAGCGATGGAAACATTCGGCCGATCTGTTGACATTGAGCTGTGGCTGGGATGTCACGGATGTTGGTTTCCTTCAGCAGAATTTTGTGCACCTTCCTGCCTTCCTTTACGATGGAGTCAAGCCATCCACTAACCAGATGCATGTGAACCCTGATTCTACTAACCTCCCCCCCCCTCCCCGAGTCAACTACTGCCACTCTCACTTCGGCTCGATTCCCCGAGACCCGGTCCTATTTTCTGAATTAAATATTCTTTTGCTCTGAAAATAATCATTTGAGATTGACAGGCACTAAATCTGGGCTTAGAACCCCTCAGCTTTAGTGCCCGTTAGAGGCCAGTTGTTCTGACCCAGCTCCCCAAACCCTCTGAAGTTAAATCAATGATTCCTTTATTAGGAGCGGCGGCAGCCCCGGTGAAAAGTTTCTCTCTCACTGCAGGCTAACAAGTCTGTCCAGTAGGGAAATGAATCGTTGTCTGCCACAACTATTCATCTCCACCGGCTGCCTTTTATCCTCAGAGCTAGGATGGGGCTTCGCGAGCAGTGGTGGCTCTTCCTTCACAAGGACCGGCCCATAAATTTCCACTGCTCTCCTCTCCTCTGCCTTCTGCGCATCCGTGCGTCAGGCACTGGATCCAAGCTGTTCCTCCTCTTCCTCATCAGCCATCTCCGGACCTGGGGCTGTTGACTCTTCATCTGAGGACTGCCCAGGGTCCACCTCAGTCTCTCTCTCTCTGCCAGCTCCATTCCCTCTTCCCACTCGAAGCTCTCAGGTTGCCTTGATGCTGACCCTGACTCCCATGTCACCCCCTCAGCTGCTGGAGGGGCAGGTGGCCACAACACTGTTGTGCATATATTAAGATACTGAAGCCCTCACAAATGGAAGAAGGAGCTTTTGAACTAATTCTTCACTGATTTGCTCTTCAACCGTTCTCTTCTGCGGCTTTTCAAAAAGAGGCCCCTTGGTGCTCTCTGAGCTTGGTTGTTTTCTTGCAGACGTTTCATGAGCCAAACTAGGTAACATCATCAGTGCTGGTAGCCTACTGCTACTTCTACTAGCATTGATGATGTTACCTAGTTTGGGTCATGAACCGTCTCCAAGAAAACAACCAAGCTCAGAGCACCAAGGACCCCTCCATTCAGCCCTCAGCTACAAATATTCTCCTTTATTGGTACTTTTCAAAGAGCAGCCCTATCAGGGAATTTGTGCAGCAAGTGTCCAAATGGAGTCAGAGACACTGACACGAACTTGTAGTTTTATACAAATAAATGTATTTTACAACTATGTATCCAGCAAACTAGATAGTCAGGCAAACGGGAGCATTGTGAGGTAAATCACAGAACAAACAGGGCCCACAGAAGAAAAGGGCGGGAAAAAAGGGAAACTCCCTCTCCACACTCACAGCAACCAATCACCGTGCAGATTGCCTCATGCAGGAGCCAGCCCTCTTCAACCAATAGAACTGTGTGTTCTGGCTCACTGCACAACCCCTCTGTTCCAGTTGCTATATTTAAATATCTACTGCTGCTGCTGCTACTACTAGCACTGATTATGTTCCGTAGCTGGGTCATAAAAGGTCTGCAAGAAAACAACCAAGCTCAGAAGGCACCAAGGACCCCTCATTTCAACCCTGAGCTACAAATATTCTCCTTTATTGGCACTTTACAAAGGGTATCACAGACTTTTAAGTGCAAATCAAGGATACCTTGACGTCTTTCATTGTAGCATTGATTTGGCAATGTCATTAAGAGCATCTAAAATTCTGCCAGTTTTTACCTAGGGGGCTACTGTTTGCAACGGGTAACTGTGGTCCCCAAGCCCTTATTTTTATAATTTTTTCAGCCTCCAGGAGAATTCGGCCTCAGTGAGTCCTGCAGGGTTGCGTTTTTCACCCAGTGTGCAGCGTATTTTTGCCTTGCGGATTGCCTTGCCCAGACTAGCTTGCGCCCAGCATCGGAGAAGTTCCAGCTTCTACTAACTGCATCGCTCCCTGCCTACCCTCAGCTCATCCCCGTTCCTTCTCTCCGCTCCTCCTTGCTACGTTGCGCCTGCTAATGTTAGCCAGTTCTGTCTTTTCCCTCCACCCCTTCCCTGCTCTAGGAGAGAAGGTGATGGCCGACGACCTGTTCACCCAGGACCTCTTTCGGTTCCTGCAACTCCTTTGTGAAGGCCACAACAATGGTAAGTGGAACTTGTTGAACAAAAGAAGGCAGGGAGAGACAGAAATAGGAACAGCTGAATAAACATATGAAGATGCAACCCCCTTTATGGAGAGGGGGGGTCAGCTTATTCTGTAAAGCACCTGAAGGCAGGACAAGAAGCAACGGATCGAAACTAATCAAGGAGAGAACCAACCTAGAACTAAGGAGAAGTTTCCTGATAGATAAAATAAATAAATTGCCTCCAGAAGTTGTGAATACTCCAACACTGGAAGTTTTTAAGAAGAGATTGGACAAGTGTTCGTGTGAAATGGTGTAGGGTTCCTACCTGGAAAGTCCCTTCCAATTCTGTTATTCCATTATCATCATCGTCACCATCATCTTTTAACGACCCCATAATCCCTTGCCGGGTGGAGCCTGGGCAACTGAATGGAGCTAGCAAAGTGTTTTATTGGCCGGATGCCCTTCCTGTCGCCAGTGCGGAGTTTTGTTCAGCAGATCTATTCTCAGTGTGCCCAGAGAGAGAAATATCTGCCTCTACCTAGGATTGAACTCACAGCATCCTGATTGTGAGGCGAGAGCTCCACCTCTAGGCACCACTCTCTGTTATTCTATTATGATGTCCTCAAAATGTTTGGAATGGTTGAATGTCCAGTCAAAAAAAAAAAATGGTTGCTATTGGAGAAGGTCCATGGAGGTCATACTAACCAGCTAGTAAAATCTAGGAGGGTTGATGGGCTCAAGTTTCCATGTCCTCCAGGACAGCGTTCCTCTGATGTTCGCACATCCCCAACTCTGTAGTTTTCTGCATCCTTAGATGAGGCGATGCTGACCAATGATACAATTTTTATATGATGTCTCATTGGGAATGCTGTCACTCCCAATACGAATGTGACTGTTATTTATTACAACGTGGACCCAGGTTATTTGTTTTGGTGGACCCAAGAAGGGGGCTGAGGTTGAATTCTCATTCACTGTCTTCCCTGACAGATTTCCAGAATTATCTGCGGACCCAGACTGGCAACACCACCACTATCAACATCATAATCTGCACCGTTGACTACCTTCTGCGACTTCAGGTGAGAATAGAGACCTCCCAGCTAAGGGTGTCCAAGGGAACAAGCACGGTTTCGGCTCATTTAATGAAAAGAAGGACTAGGGGGTGACATGATAGCGGTCTTCCAATATCTGAAGGGCTACCCCAAAGAGGAAGGGGTCAAACTATTCTCCAAAGCACCAGAAGGCAAGATAAGAAGCAACGGATGGAAGTGTTGTGGCCCACAGAGCTGGCAGCAGAATCGGACAGTGAGGAGGTTGGGGAGGAGCATGGGCCAGTTGGAGTCTGAGGAAGTCAGACTAGAAGACTTCCAAGGTCCCTTCCAACTCTGTTATTCAGGAATAACTGCTGCATCCACAGCAATAGTTTAGAAGAATTATTCTGTGGCTGTTGGACTTTCACAAGATGTTCTTTTCCTTCTCTTATGTCCTCTTCCTCCTCTTCCAAATATCCAGGAGTCCATCAGTGACTTTTACTGGTATTATTCAGGCAAGGACGTAATCGACGATCAGGGCAAACGCAACTTCTCCAAAGCGATGTCCGTCGCCAAGCAGGTCTTCAACAGCCTCACGGAATACATCCAGGTATGGCTTTGGAGATGGGGGAGTTCCACAGGGAGAGACCCATCTCCAGAAGGTGTTGCACTTTGGCCTTGGGGTTCTTTTAATATCCCCCCCCCCCCCCCCGAGGATGTGAACCTCCAATAAGGAAACCATGAGTTCATGACCGGCTTATGTGCCTCAACCTTGCGAGATCAGCTCGGGGGGGCGGGGGGAACCTTTGTCATTTAGGGTTGGTCTGAATGGCCTTGTCAGCCTCATCTCGGTCTTCCTTCTGCATGCGGTTAATATGAAATGTGCCCCACTTTGGATTATTATCCACTTTTATTAATGAAACATGAAACTCTGTCAACTGAACATTTAAAAATGTGTCACAAATGTCATTGACTGGTGCTGATGGTTGATATGGGTTGCTGCCAGCATCCTAGGTATTAACTAAGTATCTTCTTCTTAAAATGTATTATTATTATTATTATTATTATTATTATTATTATTATTATTATTATTATTATTATTGTTGTTGTTGTTGTTGTTGTTGTTGTTGTTGTTGTTGTTGCTTGTTGTTGCTTGTTGTTTTTGTTTTTGTTGTTTTTGGTTAATCTTTAGTGAGATTCACAGCCTTTGGGGCTGGTTGGTAGCTCAACAGCTCGAGTCCTAACCAAGGACGTAGGAACTGTTCAGGTAGCGTCAGAGGATATAAGCTATTCCAAGTAGCGTGGGTTTTTTTAGAATCAGGGTATTCAACTTGTTGTCCTTATTATTATTATTATTATTATTATTATCATCATCATCATCATCATCCTCATTATCATCCTCATTATCACCTTGTCTTCTCAGGGACCTTGCACTGGGAACCAGCAGAGTTTAGCACACAGCAGACTGTGGGACGCAGTCATTGGTTTCCTCCACGTCTTTGCTCACATGATGATGAAACTGGCTCAGGTAAAGAGAAAATGAAGAGAGGGAGAAGACGGAAGGGTTCTTGGTTTGAGCTCTAGAAGAGACTACCTTGCCTAAGAAAAGAAATACCTTTAAATCTTTTAAACCCAAAGGCAGATTTTTGCCTGCTAGCAACCAATATCTTTTCCCTCCAAACCTGTAGCTCTGATCTCCGGTTGTTGACTAATTATCTAGCAAGAAAAGAAAGAAAGCATTGATACTTGTCACATCATTTGGGATAGCAGTCGACTCTCGGGTTTCAGAGCTTGAAGTCCAGCCATTGTTAACAGCCCCTGCCCTTCTGCAGCCTGAAACTAGTGGTCAGCTGGCTTATCCATAATGGTGTGAAGGATCCCTGAGTGCTCTCTGAGCTTGGCTGTTTTCTTGCAGACGTTTCATTACCCAAGTAGGTAACCTCATCAGTGCTGGTAAGGAGTGGGATTTGCACTCAGTTTATATCCTAATGGCTTCCTCCGTCGGTGTTGGTGAGGATGGTCTCAGAGGCTCTCTGGTTGACCCAAACATCTCCCCGCCAGCAATTAGCACCCAGATGAGCATAGATCAAGGGTCTCCAACCTTGGCAAGTTTAAGACGTGTGGACTTCAACTCCCAGAATTCCTGAGCTAACATGACTGGAGGAGGAATTCTGGGAGTTGAAGTTCACAAGTCTTAAACTTGCCAAGGTTGAAGACCCCGGTATAGATGACCTCCAAGATTAATATCAGACCAATATTCAAGAAGTAAAGAAGACCCCAATGGAGGAACTGACAAACAACCTAGCAGTAAAATGCTCAACCAAAGAGACTCCAAGGCTATTTCCACCAACACTTGACAGGAAAAGCCACCAGGATATAAAAATAAGAGCAAACCCCACTCTCTTCTACCACTGATGATGTTCCCTAGTTGGGTCATGAAATGCCTGCAAGGAAACAACCAAGCTCAGAGAGCACCAAGGACCCTTCATTTCAACCCCAAGCTCCAAATATTCTCCTTTATTGATAGTGTGGTGGTGTGCAAAATGCATTAAAAAAAAAAATTGAGTTTGAAATGGTGGTTCCCGCCCTACCAGAGCTGTTTTGAGGGCAGGCTGACCATACTGCCAGGAACCAAAACCTAGCAGAATACAAAAGAAATAAGTCTCTCTGAGAAACCCTTCTGAATAATACTTTTTTTTCCCAATGTGTAACAGACGACGCCAGAGCTTCGAAATGGCGTAAGAACCTTCTCTGTGGTCTGCGTCCCTCCATCCCACCCCTTTGGCTGAACCTCCCAGTTCCCATGCTTCCCTTCCATCCCCCCCTCCCTCCCTCCCCTTTACTCTCCCTTTCCTTTCACTGGGCCGGACCCATCCATCGATCGATTAAGCTTATACGGCATCCTCAGGTCAAAAACCCCAGCAGCCGGTTTGCTGCCCGGTTGCTGGGTGGGCGAGGGCCTACTGGAACTTCCTGTTTCCGGCTTCCGGTGGGGCTCCAGAGCCTGGGGGAGGCCCGTTTTCACCCTCCCAAGGATCCAGAGGCCTCCGCCGGGCCTCTAGGAGGGCGAAAACGGCCTCCCGCAGCCTCTGGAGGCCCACCGGAAGCTGGAAATAGGCCCGTTTTGCTACTTCCGGTTTTTCCAGGAAGGCCATTTTTTGCCCTCCCAAGGGTCCAGAGTCCTCCCCCGGGCCTCTGGGAGGGCAAAAATGGCCTTCCCCAGGCTCTGGAAGCCCTCCGGAAGCTGGAAACAGGTCCGTTTCCGAACTTCCAGAAGGCCCGTTTTTCCCCCCCTCCGCGTGGAGACTCCTGGGAGTGGAGGGGGGGGGGAGTGGTGGGTCCAGCCGGTCGGTCGAAATACTGGTTCGGCGAAGCAGCTGTAACTAACATTCGGTTTGCCCGAACTGGTCCGAATCGGTCCAAACTGATAGAATCCCACCCCCCACCCCCCCGGGCGTCCTTCTAGGCCTTAATAGTCATGCAATAAAAAATGTGAGGTAAAACTTATCAATAGAGACGTTCCATTTAACATTCAGTTTAAATTACATTGACCGACTTGGAGAGGAAGGGAGCCCAGTGCACACGGGGAGGAAGTGGGGAGTTATCTTATCCATTAGCCACTTCCAGAATGACACCCATCATCCCCCCCCCACATCAGGACCCCCAGGCTAGCTAGCAGAGCTTACTGCCAAAAGAAAAGAAAAAGAGGCCATTTTGCCCTCGTGGCCAATCCTGTTGACCAGGACTAGATTTAAATGGTCCTAAGTGACTTTAGAAAGAGAAAAGAAGGACTATGGGGTGATGACAGCAGTCTTCCAGTATTTGAGGGGCTGCCACAGAGAAGAGGGGGTCAACCTATTTTCCAAAGCCCCTGAGGGCAGGACAAGAAGCAACGGGTGGAAATTCATCAAGGAAAGGAGCAACCTGGAATTAAGGAGAAACTTCCTAACAGGGAGGACAATTAACCATTGGAACAGCTTGCCTCCAGAAGTTTATAGGTGCTTCATCCCTGAAGGTTTTGTTTTGTTTTTAAAGAAGAGATTGGCCAGTCACTTGTCTGAAATGGTATCATGGAATAATGCTTGAGCAGGGGGTTGGACTAGAAGACCTCCAAGCTCCCTTCCAGCTCCATTCGGGTTGAAACGTCGCATGCACAGACCCGACAGACAGATTGTAGTTTACGGGAAGCAAAAATAATCCTTTATAATCCAGGCACATCCAAAGCTGAGTTTTGCAGCCTGTAGAACCCGGCAGGCTTCTGCATCATTTTGTCTTGGGGAGGTGCTGGTTTTTTTAGTTCAAGGTTTCGTAGTTACCAGAACCGGTTGGGTTGGGCCTCTGCAGTCAGCCCAAAGCGTAGCTCGACCCAATTTTTTTTTTTTTATGGCCACACATTTGTGGCTCTTCATTTTCTGCTTTTGTCTATAAATGCAGAGGTTGCCAAGTTTGAAAAACGCTGATCTGTATATATCAGCATTGGCTGATCTCCCCAGAACTTAAATGTAATTGGCACTAGCTTGTAAACTAGTAAGTAAATCCCAGGTCTGTGAGCTGAATTGGTATATTGAAGAGGAAATGTCCTAGAGCTGTTGTCTATATGGTTACTCGGGGTCAAGGTCAGCCCAAGGCAGCCTTTACTTTTTATCCCACCCCTCTTAAAGTCTTAACAGTGGGGTCCCTGGTGCTCTCTGAGCTTGGTTGTTTACTTGCAGACATTTCATGACCCAACTAGATAATGTCATCAGTGCTAGCAGGGAGTGGAGTTTGCTCTCTCGGTAGTTCCTTGACAGGAGTAAAGGAACTTGGTAGCAGGAACTATCAACACAGACAAGCAAACAGTAAACAACGTCCTAATCAGGGAGCCACCAAGTACACCCCCACCAACATGGATAGGACAAGCCACTTGTAGCCCTGATGATGTTCCCTAGTTGGGTCATGAAATGTCTGCAAGGAAACAACCAAGCTCAGAGAGCACCAAGGACCCCATATTCCCCCTCCCCTTCCCCCTCCTCCTTTCTAGCACTGATGATGTTCTCTAGTTGGGTCATGAAACATCTGCAAGAAAACCCACCGAGCTCAGAGAGCACCAAGCCCCACCCCAACCCCAGTTCAATCCTGACCTACAAATTTTGCCTTCCGTCGAACTGCCAGATGCCTCCTGCTCCGTTAACTTGAACATGGAGGAATAGCATGTTTGATCTGGTTCCATTTTGCAGTGGCTTCTTTTTGTTCCTCATCCAGCTTTCCCTTTTCTGCTGTGTCCTCTCCGCTTTATCCGTCTCCTTCCATCTATCAGGAGGTGGTTGAAGGCTCCATGCTTGGCCATTGCTTGGGCTTGCTGGCTCATTTTCCCACCCGAGCTCATTTGGTAACCTTGCAGGCGCTGGCGGGTGAGCGGGAGGGATAGAGGGGGAGGAGGCATTGGGTAGAAGGATGGAGAAGAAGAGGACAACTAACAGCGAGATGGATTGAGTGGGCTTGATTGCAGGGGCGATGGGGGCACAGTTGGGGAACAAGTCGGACTGGGGAAGCAATCTCTAAGTCAGAGGTCTTCAAAGTTGGCAGCTTTAAGACTTGTGGACTTCAACTCCTAGAATTCTGGGAGTTGAAATCCACAAGTCTTTAAATTGCCAACTTTGGAGACCTCTGCTCTAAGTCATCGTCAGAGAAGGATGGAAGAAGTTGGCCTGGAGAACCCCATGTCAGCTTCCTCACAGCACAGAACCCCATGTGAGCTTCCACACAGGGTGGGAATAGGCATTGGGACAACTTCAGCGAGGAGGCATCTTTCCAGAATTATCTCTTTCACTCACCAAACTATCTCTTTGTTGCGCTGCCCACGAGGAGCAATTTCGGAGCGAATCTTACCCAGAGGTAAGGAAGCCACCACTCATTCCAACGAAGAAATGCACTCTATATATGTGTTTGGGGGGTTAGTTCCTGGTTGACATCCTCCAAAGAGAACGGGAGGCTTTGGGAAAGGTCATCTAGTTGGGGTTTTTTTTTTCTACGTGTAGCACATGGGGACCATAACTGGTCAGGTTGGACATATCTAAAGCAATGTTTCTCAACCTCAGAAATTTTAAGATGCGTGGAACTTCATTTCCCAGAATTCCCAGCCAGCGGTTCTGGGAGACGTAGTCCACGCGTCTTAAAGTCGCTGCGGTTGAAAAGCCATGATCTCAACTGACTTCTGATCCCAAATGTCCCTCTAGACTTAGTGTCCATGTGCTATGGGACCCCAGAGGGGTTTAGAGCACAGGTTGTGTAAATCTACCTTTACCCATGGATTCACACAACCTCCTCCTTCGCACCTATCAGTGATTGCGTTTTGATGGCTGGCTGGAAGCCAACTGGAGCGTGGGTGAAGATTAGAGTATTGATGGGTGAAGGATTGTTAAGCGAAGAAGGCCCGGGGGGGTCTCCTTGAGGAGGTGTGTTTCAAAGAGGCCTCAGGCCCTACCTGAGAAATACGTCCCGTTTCTTTGCATTCTGTATCTGACACTTGCTTGTTCTTGTTCCAGGATTCCAGCCAAATTGCACTTCTGAAGGAGCTGTTGGACCTTCAAAAGGACATGGTGGTGATGCTGCTTTCTCTGCTGGAAGGTGATCACCTGGCAACCTTCTGGAGGAATTTGTGGACTCCATGTTGGCTTCTAAAGGGCAGAACCTCCTGCCTTATAGGCTCTTAGGCTCAGTTTCTAGCATCTCCAGCTGGACTCTGACTGGGTCTCTGGCTAAAAATCTGAAGGCCAATGCTAGATATAGCTGGTCCTTGACGTGCGACCATGAACATGTCCAACACACTGTCAGCCTTCCAACTAACCGGCACCAAATCAATCAACTCCGAGACAAGCATTTCTTCAAAGTTTCATTTTATTAGAGTTGTCATATCGGCACATCTGGGAAAACCCAAACCTGCGAGTTCTGGGTTTGCCCCTCTCCAAAAGAAATTCAAAGATCCATCCCCTGCACTCATCAGTTCGTCACATAGCCCAATCAAATTATCGTCCCAACAGGAGACCTTCCTCCAGACACTCCCCTCCAGGTGCAGGGCAACATGTCCTTGACTCTCTGAGAAAGGAATGTTGTTGTGTCTAATCTTCTACCTCACTATGAAATCCCCTCTCCCAAATTCCCAGGCACTGAATATGTCAGCCACGAAGCTTCCAAGTAAAAAATGGCTTCCAAGGCTGACACACACTTTTCTCCTCCTATTTTCCCCACGACACAACTATGTGAGGTGGGTTGGGCTGAAAAAAAGTGATTGGCCCAAAGTCACCCCGATGGCTTTCATAGCTATGGTGAGACTAGAACTCCCAGTCTCCTCGGGATTGGCCCAAAGTCACCCCAAAAGTCTTAAAAGTTGCCAAATTTGGAGACCCTTGTCTTAGGCAATGGCTGAGGTAGGACTTGAACTCATGATTTCTCGCTTTCTAGCCTGGTGCCTTAACCACTAGGCCAAATTAGCTCTCTGGTTATGTGAGTCGCACAGTTTCATTCTTAGACCAAGTGTTCAAATTGGGTCACGCTTGGCCCTATTTTTCCAGGTTGGAGAACTTGAAGCAATGAGTAGGAAAAAAATATATTTACTAAGGCAGAGCAAAGATATGAACGGAACAAAGAGGAAGGCAGGGCACTGCCATCACCTGTATTCTTGGTATATCTAGACTAAATGACACAATTATGACATTGTCTAAGGAGATTCCCAGTCATTCAAGTCATGGTTGTCCCAAAAGGGCTTTTTCAAAAGGAAATTGGGCTTCTTTGTTTTTCAGAACTGAAGAAGCTTCTTGGATGAGAAGCAAAATATCTTCAGGGAAAAACAATGTCCAGTTGCCCTTTGACAAGGCACTTTTGGGACAGTTATGACCTTGTGTAATTGTGTCGTCTACCAAATGTCTGGATATGACTTACACATATCCTGTCTCTTGATGGAGGAACAAAATATCCCTGCCAGCATAACTTTCTTGTCTGTCTTCCGCGTTCAGCCCCTTTGTCAAAGTATAATTTGCATCCTTGGTGTATCTACTCAGGAAATGTGGTGCACGGCACCATCGCTCGGCAGATGGTGGACATGTTGGTGGAGTCCTCCAGCAATGTGGAGATGATCCTCAAATTCTTCGACATGTTCTTGAAACTGAAGGACATTGTGGCCTCCGATGCCTTCCGCGATTACATCACCGATCCGCGGGGCCTCATCTCCAAGAAGGATTTCCAGAAGGCCATGGACAGTCAGAAGCAGTACACACCATCGGAGATCCAGTTCCTTCTCTCCTGCTCGGAAGCTGATGAGAATGAGATGATAGACTATGAGGAGTTTGCCAACCGCTTCCAGGAGCCCGCCAAAGACATCGGCTTCAACATTGCTGTGCTGCTGACGAACCTCTCGGAGCACATGCCTCATGACGTCCGCCTGAAAACCTTCCTGGAACTGGCCGAATGCATCCTCAACTACTTTAATCCCTACCTGGGCCGCATTGAGATCATGGGTGCCAGTAAGCGCATTGAACGCATCTACTTTGAGATCAGCGAGACCAATAAGACCCAGTGGGAGATGCCCCAGGTCAAGGAATCCAAGAGACAATTCATTTTCGATGTGGTCAACGAAGGGGGCGAGTCGGAGAAGATGGAGCTCTTCATCAACTTCTGTGAGGACACCATCTTTGAGATGCAGATCGCCTCCCAGATTTCAGAGGAGGAAGGTGAGGCGCAGGAAGAGGTGGAGGAAGAAGCAGAAAGCACAGAAAGCGGGGAAGCCGAGAGTGCGTCGGCACCTTCGGAGGCGTCTTCGGTCTTCAGCGACTTCCTGGAGAGCATCTTGAATTTCTTCCGCATGTTTACCTATCGCAACATCCGTCGCCAGTTCCGCAAAGTCAAGAAGATGACAGTCAAGGACATGGCCGTGGGAGTGGCCACCTTCCTTTACACCATCTTAATGGGCATCCTTGTCTTCTTCTATAGTGTCCTCAAGTGCTTCTTCCTGCTCATCTGGAACACCCTCTTTGGTGGTGGCTTAGTGGAGGAGGCCAAGAAGCTCACCATGACCGAACTGTTGGCCAGCATGCCTGATCCAACTCAGGATGAGGTCCACGGAGACGTGGCTCCTTCTGATGAAGATGAGCAGGTGACGGAAGAAGGAGAAGAAATCAATATTGCAGAGTCCGGCAAGGAGGATGCCTCAGGTGAAGGTGGAGAAGGTTTTGGAGGGGATCCCAAGAAAGAGCATTTCCGTTCCATGGCCTCTGATGCACCTGGCGGGCTTGGAGATATGGGGGACACCACCCCAGTGGAACCTCCCACACCTGAAGGGACACCCATCCTCAAGAGGAAATTGGTATGATTGGGGCTTGAGGGGGTGGGAGTTGCTGGGAAGGTCCAAAGTTTAGTTTAGTTTTGTTTAGTTTTGTTTAGTTTATCGTCCTTGCACCTCATACAACGAAATCAAACACCATCTTCAGTGCACATCATGACCATGAAAATAAACACAAACATACATCCTTCACACGCCACACATTGAACCGAAACCCTCCAACACCGCACTATACAGTAGAATTCAAAAGAGCTACTGCCCTAGGATAGAAGCTGTTTTTCAGCCTGTTTGTCCTTGTTTTTATTATTCTGTACCGTCTGCCAGATGGTAATAGTTCAAAAAAAAAAAAGGGTTCCTAGGATGAGATGGATCTTTGAGGATGTTTTGAATTTTCTTAAGGGAGCAGGAGCTATAAAGCTCTTCCAAAGAGGGGAGGGGGCAACCAATGATCTTCTGGGCAATGACATTAACCCATCTGGAGTGCTGTCCTATCTGCCCCTGGGCAATTGGCAAACCATACTGAGGTGCAGTAAGTTAAGATACTCTCTCTGGTGCAGCGATAGAAGGTCACCAGCAGTTTTTCATTCAGGTGTTGTTTTCTGAGAAGTCTCAGGTAGGATAATCTCTGCTTTGCCCTTTTGACCCCAATGTGGGCACCCCAGGTCAGATCTTCTTTTAGGGTAACACCCAGAAACTTAAAACTGGCCACTTGCTCCACTTGGTCTCCATTGATAAGCAAGGGCTGGAGGTCTGATGTATTCTTTCTATAGTCCACTATAAACTCCTTGGTCTTATTGGTATTGAGGACCAAGTTATGGTCTCCACACCACGAAAGCAACTGATCCACCTCATCTCGCCAGGCAGACTCATCCACGTCCATAGCCAAGAGTCATCAATCATGCTCTCCGGTAATAATTTTGTGCGCCAACAGCTTTGGCTGCCAAGGCAATTATCTGAGGCATTTAAGGAATGCACTGCTTTCCCCCACTCCCTTTCTGCTGGCAACTAAAAAGAACAAAGGAGTATTTTTTGGTTGACAGATAACCCTCTTGAAATCTCATAATATTTTCCTTTCTGAGTCATGCCCCTCCCTTTTGTTTTTTCTCTTGGATCCAATTCATTGACGGTTGCTCTTGTGGTTCTCCAGGTGGAAGAAGAGGCAAGGGAGGAGGAACTATATCCGGAGCTGGAGAAGATTGAGGAACCACCAGCAGAACCAGAGAAAGCTGAGTTGAGTGGTTTGGAGGTCCATCTGTGGTTGTCGAGTTCATCAGAACCCCCTAAAAAAAAAAAAAAATAAGGCAGAAGTTTTCATTGCCTAAGGCAGGGTCTCCAAAGTTGGCGACTTTAAGAGTTGTAGACTTCAACTCCCAGAATTCCTCACCCAGCCATGTGACTTTAAGAGTTGTAGACTTCAACTCCCAGAATTCCAGCATGGCTGGCTGAGGAATTATGGAGTTGAAGTCCACAACTTAAAGTTGCCAAGTTTGGAGACTTCTGCCATAACTACTCTTGGGGTTGGGCACAGGGTCTGGGAGGATGGCCAGTGATGATAATTGGCAACATGGTTTCTGTGCCCTTCCAGTGCGGAAAACGGAGAGAAGGCTGCCAAGGAAGAAGAGGAGAAGAAAGAGAAAGAACACAAGGAGGAAGAGCCGCCATCACCGCCACCAGCCCAGGAGGAGAAAAAGAAGAAGATGGCCCAGCGGCCAGAGAAGAAAGAAGAGGAACAGGGAGTCTCAGAGTTTTGGAACGAGATGGAGATCCAGAGGGTCAAATTCCTGGTAAGGGGTCTCTCTTGGATTGACAATCATGTGTGCTGAAGAACAGGATGTATTGACCTTGGCAACTTTAAGATGGGGGGACTTCAGCAGAACTGGCTGGGGAATTCTGGGAGTTGCAGTCCAGGAATAAGAATTAGAATAGAATATTGGAATGAAGAATAGAGTAGAGTAGAGTAGAGTAGAGTAGAGTAGAGTAGAGTAGAGTAGAGTAGAGTAGTAGAATAGAATATGGGATAGGATAGGATAGGATAGGATAGGATAGGATAGGATAGGATAGGATAGGATTCTTTATTGGCCAAGTGTGATTGGACACACAAGGAATTTGTCTTCGATGCAAATGCTCTCAGTGTACATAAAAAGAAAAAATACATTCATCAAGAACTATAAGATACAACCCTTAGTGATAGTCATAGGATACTAAATAAGCAATCAAAATCATACTAGGACAATAAATAAAACAATATTAATCGTAAAAATACAAGTAACAAGATTATAGTCATAAGTGGAAGGAGATAGGTAATAGGAAGGATGAGAAGAATAATAGTAATATAGTCTTGGTAAATAGTTTGACAGTGTTGAGGGAATTATTTGTTTAGCAGAGTGATGGCGTTCGGGAAAAAACTCCTTATGTCTAGTAATTGTTTGGTGTGCAGTGCCCTATAGTGTCGTTTTGAGGGTAGGAGTTGAAACAATTTCTGTCCAGGATGTGAGGGGTCTGTAGATATTTTCACAGCCTTCTTTTTTGACTCAGTGCAGTATGGAATTGAGACTAAACCATAACCTTTAACTACCATAGCTGGATCTACAGAGGCCAGGACATCATAGGATAGTCTTAATATTTACTCTGCGGGCTCTCTGCCAGTGTTTCTGAGTGCAGGTAGTCTTCAACTTATAACTATCTTTGCCCTGTGGGAAAAAGCCCCTCCAAACTATGTCCCAACTCATCTGCTGGTGTGCTGTTGTTGAACCACACCGTCATGCTGGCTCTGAGGGAGAGGAGGAACAGCCAACAGGGAGTGGAAGTGTGCCTCCAGAGGTTGTGGAGGAGGCTGGGGAAGGGCAGAGGCCGGCTGAGCAGTCAGAGGAGGGCCCAGGCCCATCCCCTCCCCATCCTAGGGCACGCAGGGAGGAGAGGATAAAGGAGAGACGTGGTCTACTGGGGAGGAGAGGGCCTTGATCCCCTTCGTGGGCTGCAGCTGTGACAACTAGATAAGAGGATGTACATGCGTATGGACGAATGCTGGAAACAAAGCATGGAAATATCTCTAGTTTATGGCTCCTCTCTGAGTTTGTCGTCCTTCCCAGTGTGTGTTATCTGTGGACGTCCTCCAGCCCTTATCCTGCCTGGTTTGTGTTGCTTTTTCCCTTCTTCTTGTAACTGTTTGTGTGGGAGTTTTTTGTCTTCCGTCAAGGATATTCAGAGCCTGGAAGCAAAGTGAAGGAATAAAAGGGGCTTCACCTGTTTTCTGTGACTGTGTTTGTTTTGTATCCCACCCTGGGTCATCACACACGCGGGCAAAATTTCTCCAGGATGAAAGGAGTATTAGCACATTTATTTTACTACAAGTACTTCTCAACTTACAGCCCTTCGTTTATTAACTGTTCAAAATGACAACAGCACTGAAAAAAAGGAACATACGGCCGTTTTTCACACTTAGTGACCGTTGCAGCCTCCCTTGAATTCATGCTCTGGTTGGCCTTGTATAACTATTTGGGAATTTAGTCGTTGGCAGCATTTCAAGGAAAATAAAGGTGTGTGCTTATCAGACTTATCCCAAAGGACTTTGGCAGACTTCTTTGGGACTATTTACAAACTGTTTGAGACTCATTACGGGCTGTGAATGACTAAAATTCACATTCATTGAAATAAAGACAAAACGGTTTTGGGACTAACGTGTGTTTGTTAAGTGTCTCAATAAGCCTTGGTCAGAACACGAAGCGACTTTATCTTGGACTTGGAAACCGTTTAATCGTGAAAACTTTTAGGTTTCTGAAGCGGAACAAACCATCCCGTTACACTTAACCTTACCTTCTCATCTTTTCAGAATTACCTGTCCAGGAATTTCTACAACCTGCGCTTCCTCGCCCTCTTCCTGGCCTTTGCCATCAACTTCATCTTGCTTTTTTATAAGGTAAAAAGGTTTGCGGATGGATGGGAGCTGCCTCTTGGGAGTAGAGATGCAGGGACCCCGTTATCAGGGCTTCCCAAGTAGTTTGGGAAAGAGGGTGAGAGGGTCCAGAGTGAGCCAAGAGCTTAAATCCATGTCCAACCATGGCAGCTTCCAAGACTGGTGGACTTCAACTCCCAGAATTCCTCAGCCAGCCTGGCTGGCTGAGGAATTCTGGGAGTTGAAGTCCACCAGTCTCGGAAGCTGCCATGGTTGGATGTCCCTGGTCTTGTCATTTCTCGCAGAGCATTCTGGGACCCAGAAGAACTTGATAGCGGAATCTATTAAGACAGGGGTGTCAAACTAGATTTCTTCGAGGGCCAGATCAGCATTGTAGTTCTCCGTGGGCTGGCCGGGGGCGGGAGGGAGATGGGACAGATGCCTCCTGCAGCACCCTGCAGGTCAAAACGGGGTCTGGGGGAGCACATGAGGCCCCCTTGAGGTCCCCCCCCCCATTTTCAGCCTGGACGGCCTCTGTTGGCCAAAATGGGGCATGGGGGAGGGGCATTGCATAGCCGGTCCTTTGCTATTTCCAGGCTGGCCTCGCGGGTCAGATTTAAGCACCCCGCAGGGTGGATCCTGCCCACAGACCTTGAATTTGACACCCCTGTATTAAGAGGTTGGGATAGAGAAAGGAATGGACATCTACCTGGGATATGAATGGTCATAAGACCCTTAAGCAGAAGACCCAAGTTAGAGAAAAGCCAGGTTTGTAAGCCCGGACCTTAGCTTTTCCTCCTTTAGACCCTCATCTTGGTTTCATCTATAGCAGGCGTGTTAAACTCAAGGCCCACGGGCTGGATCTGGTCCGCAAGGTGCTTAGATCTGTCCCACAGGCCCATGCTGGAAACAGTGAAGGAACGGCCTGTGGTGCCTCTGCCAGCGAAAATGGAGCTCGGGAGGCCTATGTGTGGCCCTCCACAACGGCCTCCTGAAGTCCTCTGCGAGTGAAAATGGAGCTTCGGAGAGCCGCATGCAGGCCTCTTGGGATCCGTTTCCAGCCACGACAACCTCCTGCAGCCCTCTGCCAGTGAAAACGGAGCTCGGGAGACCTGCGTGTGGCCCTCCGAGGCTCCGTTTCTGGCCACGACGGCCTCCTGCAGCCCTCTGCCAGTGAAAACGGAGCCTTGATGAGTGACGTTGAGCTGGCCATGCCCCCCTCCTCGTCTCCCTGAGGTCAAACACAACCCTGATGTGGCCCTCAATGAAATCGAGTTTGATACCCCTAATCTATCGTTTCTTCGTCCTATTAATGATTTCGATTTCCTAGGTGTCAGACACGCCCCCCGGTGAGGAGGAGTTTGAAGGCTCTGGTCTTGAAGGCGATCTGGATGCAGGATCCGGGGCAGGATCCGGCTTCGGTGGAGACGACAACGGGGGCAACGGGGACGGCAACGGCAACGGGGACGAGGACGAAGAAGACAGCGTGGTCTACTTCTTCCTGGAGGAGAGCACGGGCTACATGCAGCCAGCCTTACAATTCCTGTCCATCGTCCACACCCTGGTCGCGTTCCTCTGCATCATCGGCTACAACTGTCTCAAGGTGCCACTGGTCATCTTCAAGCGTGAGAAGGAGCTGGCCCGTACGTTGGAGTTTAGCGGGCTCTATATCACGGAGCAACCGGAGGATGACGACATCAAAGGCCAGTGGGATCGTCTGGTGCTCAACGCTCCGTGAGTGAAGGAAAGGGAAACGGGTTATGGGGCGGCCCCTCAGAACTGCCCCCTCGCTTCCCAAGCCACGGCAGCCCCTCTCAGTCCTGAGCCTATGACGCCATTGAGCTAAAAATTGCAAACGGCGGAAGCAGGGGTGGGCCTCAAAAATTTTAGCAAAGGGTTCTCTCCCTGGTTGCTAGTTGGGCGTGGCCTAGTCGGCCTCCTGCACCACGGTGGTGGTGGGGAGTTTTTGCCTTCCCCGGACTCCAGAGGCTTTCCTTGAGCCTCCAGGAGGGTGAAAACGGCCTCCCCGCGCTCCGGAGGCTATCCCGAAGCCAGAAACAGGCCCATTTCTGGCCTTCCCGAATTTCCAGGAGGCCCGTTTTTCACCCTCCTCAAGCCTCCATGCGTGCCCTGCATTTACCTGTACCCCAAACAGGCCGTTTGGGGACTCCTGTGAGGGGCGGGGCAGGGTGGGCGGGGGGCCAGCCAGGAGTGGGATTTGGGGGGTTCTCCAAACTGCTCAGAATCTTAGCTAGGGGCTCTCCCAAACCCCCGTGAACCCCCAGCAGAACCACCCCGGGCAGAAGTAGGTCAGGCACAAAGAATCCGGAGTGCACATTAAGCTGATTTATTGCTCATACCTACACACAAGAATCCGGACAATTAACGGTCAGTACTAAATGGGCACTAGCTACGAGTTAACGGAAATCGAGAAGGACACACCATTTATGGGAACGTAACGACTCCAGGCTACTTCCTCTCTTGACTCTGCCTCTACGCTCTGTCTGTCCTTCTCCTAGTAAGAGTTCTTTATTGGCCAATTTGAACTGTTTGTAGTTGGTGTATGGCCGGATGGTGTGCTGTTTCTGGGTTTAGGCCAGGGGTCGGCACCTATGGCCCCTTTACGATCTGTGGACTTCAACTCCCAGAATTCCTGAGTTTTTGTGGCTAAGTCGGCAGTGGTGGGATTCAGTGGTTGTTTTTTTTTTACTTTCTGCGGGTGTGGCTTGGTGGGTGGGGCAGGGGAAGGATACTGCAAAACCCCCCATTCCCTCCCCACCCCACTAACCTGCTTTCCAGCTCCGTTCTCCTGTGCAGGGCAATCAAAGGAGACGCAGCCGATCAGCTGGGACTCAATGGGAGGCAGAGAAGAGATGGGGTTGGCGGGGCCAGTCAGAGGTGGTATTTGTTGGTTGTCCGAACGACTCAAACTTTCCGCTACCGGTTCTCCGGAACCAGTCCAAACCGGCTGAATACCACACCTCTGTAAGGCAGGACCTGAATTCGTGGCAAAATAAGTTTTCAAAAGGAGGCAGAGATTAGAATGGACTTTGCAGGAGGATTAAAAGAATGGAAGGTCTGGATGTGGGGTGAGGAAATTGTATCCCTGATGGCTTTTTTAAAAATTGCTTCCCATTTTTTTTCTGCTGTGCCAGGTCGTTCCCGAGCAATTACTGGGATAAGTTTATCAAAAGGAAGGTAAGATTGCCCACAAGTCCTGTGCTCTCCCAGAGGAGGTTGGGTGAGCAGAAAGAACCTGATTGTTGTCAAAAGGCTAAGAGAATCTATCTGTACAGGTAATCCTCAACTTACTGTCAGGATTCCGGCAGTTACCCCGCATTTAAATCATGAGTCTCGAGCCAAATTTCCAAAACTAAACAGGATTTATTGGGAGTTAACATGCCGGCACTGCCTGGGTGTAACCAACTCTGAGACACATCATTCACTGTCACCCTTGGCCCTGGTTTCCCCCCCCACACCCTTCTGGGTGTATCGTAATTCATATTCTCCAATGGGACACCTCCATAGCCCAGAGTCATCAATCATGTTCTCCAGTTAGAATTTTGCGGGGCAGAAACTTCGGTCACCTAGTTGCTATCTTCGAAAACATTTATGGAATGCACTTTCGGTTTGCAAGCTGCTGCACTGCTCCCCCCTCCCTTTCTGTTGGCAACTCTAAAAAGACCATAGAAATATTTTATGAGTTGACGCGATTACTTTTTAATGACCAAAGTTATGATGATGCTGAAAACATATCTCATGAACTGGTCCTCGCACTTACATCCATTGTGGCATCCCTGCGGTCACACGATCGAAATTTGGACGCTTGGCAACCGGCGTGAGTTTATGATGGTTGCAGCGTCCCAGGGTCATGTGACCACTATTTCTGATCTTCTCAGGGGGCTTTAATGAATTGGGGAAGCCAGATTCGCTGAACGACCCTGTGATTTGTTTAACGACCTGAGTACATAAAGGTCATAAGCTTGGGAATGACTTGGTGAATGACCCCCATCGCTTAGCTAGGACAATTCCTGTCCCAATTATGGCCCTACATTGAGGGCTACCTGCATGGTTGTGATTTTAAAATATGTGTCAGGATTCCAGCAGTTTCCCCATTTAAATCATGAGTCTCGAGCCAAACTTCCAAAACTTAAAAAGGATTTATTGGGAGTTAGACTGTCCGGCACTGCCTGGGTGCAGCCGACTCTGAGGCACATCATTCACTGTCACCCTTGACCCTGGTTTCCCCCCCACACCCCGGGTGTATCCTAATTCATATTCTCCAATGGGACACATCCATAGCCCAGAGTCATCAGTCATGCTCTGCAGTTAGATATTTGCATGGTAGAAACTTTAGTTGCCTAGTTACTATCTGTGAAAACGTTTATGGAATGCAATTTCGGTTTTACAAGCTGCCGCACTGCTCCCACCCTCCCTTTCTGTTGGCAACTCTAAAAAGACCATAGAAATATCAAATATTGACAATATGCCTAATTGTTGCTTCCCTTCTTTTCCAGGTTCTAGACAAATATGGCGACATTTACGGGCGAGAAAGGATCGCAGAACTTTTGGGCATAGATTTGGCCAGCCTAGAGATCTCAGGACAAAATGAAAAGAAATCGGAGCCGGACACGTCGTTCTTGACTTGGTGAGAAAAGTTGGGCAAAACAGGAGGGGCAGAGAGAGAGAGATATGGGGCAGCAGGTAATGCTCAAGTTGGCATCGTCTCCCTGACAGGTAGACGACAAAGGGAGCATTTAAAATTGTAATTCAGGGTGTTAATATTTCTTTAGTATCTATAACACCTTTTCGCACATTACTGTAGAGTACTGTGCTGGTACTCCTTGACTTATGATCACAATTGAACAACACAAATTTGTGTTGTTAAGTAAGATTGTTTGCTAAGTGAGTTTAACAATTGTTAAGGGAATCATCGCTTAGAGATGGCTGTAAAGCGCTATGAAGCGGCATATAAGTCCTTCCTTCCTTCCTCTCTCCCTTCCTTCTAAGTGCTTCTAAGTATGTCTAAGTGCTATTGCTCTTCCTTTTCTCCTTCCTTCCTTCCTTCCTTCCTTCCTTCCTTCCTTCCTTGTGCTTCAAAGCATGTCTAAATGCTATTTTCCTTCCTTCCTCCCTTCCTTCCTAGTGCTTCTAAGTGCCAATATCTCTTCCTTTCCTTCCTTCCTTCCTTCCTTCCTTCCTTCCTTCCTTCCTTCCTTCCTTCCTTCCTTCCTTCCTTCCTTCCTTCCTTCCTTCCTTCCTAGTGCTTCTAAGTATAAGTGCTATTTCTCTTCCTTTCCTTCCTTCTTTCCTACCTACCAAGTGCTTCTAAGTGCTTCCTTCCTTCCTTCCTTCCTTCCTTCCTTCCTTCCTTCCTTCCTTCCTTCCTCCCTCCTTTGCAAGGGCTTCTAAGCCTAAGTCTAACTGCTCTTGCTATTTCTCTCTCTCTTTCTCTTTCTCTCTCTCAGGATTAGTTCCATTGACATTAAGTACAAGATCTGGAAACTTGGCGTCATCTTCACGGATAACGTAAGTAAGGACGTGGCCCCAAGGCAGAGAAATTCACTACTAAAATAGATATACTGACCCTCCTTTCATTCTGGAGAAATTCTGTCCTCGTGGTTCTTAAGGGTCAACACTAACTCAACGAAACATCAGCAGATGTCATGGAACATAGAGCTAGTCTCAGACTTACAACCACAATCAAGCCCAAAATTTATGTGGCAAAGAGAGGCTGTTAAGTGAGTTTTGCCCCATTCTACGACCTTGCTTGCCACAGCGGTTAAATGGGTCCCTGCCTTGGCTAAGCTAGTAACACGATTGTTCAGTGAATCTGGCTTCCCTGAGGACTTTGCTGGTCAGAAGGTTGCACAAGGGGATCACTCTCCTCGTATCCTCTCCCGAATGCTTTAAATAAATACATGCCAGTTGCCAAGCACATGAATTTTGAACCCGTGACCATAAGGATGCTGCAGTGGTCCCAAGGGCGAAAAACGGCCATAAGTCCCTTGTTTCAGTGTTGCTATAACTTGGAGCAGTAACTAAATGAACTGTCGTAAGTTGAGGGCAACCTGTAGTCTAGAGGGGCTTTTTTCCCAGAGGACAAAGAGGCAGTGGAGTTTGGCATGTCTGGGAGGGAGGAAGAGGGCTAAGACAGTCCCTCCTTAGCAGTTCACAGAATACATCTAAAGTTATGCCGATAGTTGCTTTAGTCTGGCAAGATTCTGTCTATCAGTGAAAAAGCAATGAGGAAATTAAGAAGTAATTTCATGTGTTCTTCTTGGTCCTTGTGACATCAGTCTTGCCAGACTAATATTAGCAATACTTTCTTCTACCTACTATCAAGACTCAAGGACATTTGTTCATTTGCTTTCCATTAAGTTCTTCTTTCTCTCCCTCTCACTGCAGTCCTTCCTGTATCTCTTCTGGTACATGGTGATGTCCGCCCTCGGCCATTACAACAACTTCTTCTTCGCTTGCCACCTTCTGGACATTGCCATGGGTGTCAAGACCTTACGGACCATCCTGTCCTCTGTCACCCACAATGGCAAACAGGTCAGTTGAGATGAGGGAAGTTTTGAGAGAGGAGTCCTCTGCTCCATAGGCACCAAGAGAAAGCTGTTCTTTCCTGCTACTCAACTCACCATCTCCTTCACCTGTGTCCTCTTTCCCCAGCTGATGATGACCGTGGGGTTGCTGGCAGTGGTTGTCTACCTTTACACCGTGGTAGCCTTCAACTTCTTTCGCAAGTTCTATAACAAGAGCGAGGATGAGGATGAACCTGACATGAAATGTGATGACATGATGACGGTGAGAGACAACGAGACTTCCTAGACTGATGTTCTCCTGGACGTCTGGAGGCACCGGAGTTGGGAAGGCTGAATTGTGCCCTCGATCTTGAACCTGGATGCTTTCTACTCTTTTCCCATCAGTGCTACCTCTTCCACATGTATGTTGGAGTGAGAGCCGGTGGCGGCATCGGGGATGAGATTGAAGATCCGGCTGGAGACGAATATGAGCTCTATCGCGTGATCTTTGACATCACCTTCTTTTTCTTTGTCATTGTCATCTTGTTGGCCATCATCCAAGGTGAGATGGGTGGGCCTACATCCCTTCCCGAGTCTCTGTGGTATCACTGTGTCTCTCGTCTACTTCCTTTTTTCTAACCAGTATTTGCGGGCACAAAATTGCTTCAAAGCTGGCTGAGGAATTCTGGGAGTTGAAGTCCATAAGTCTTAAAGTTGCCAAGGTTGGAGACCCCTGCTCTACACAGTATGTGTGAAACAAGGATGTCTTTGAGCATCTTCAGGATGTCTCTCCCAGTGACTCACCCTGCCTTTTGTAGAGAGTAGTAGTTTTCGGGAAAGTGGCTTTGCTTTCCTTAATCTCAAGTTTTTCTTTTCTCTTTGACTTCTGGATGTCAACTCATAAAGCATTCCTGGCTTGCTTTTGAGTTGCCCTAAGAAGGATGTGGGAGGGGGGGAGATCTGATGGAGCAGTTCGTTGCTATGATCAGAAGCACATTCCACACATACCTTTCTCCAGATTGTGTCTCAAGTTACCAAGACCAGCCAGAAAGGGCGTGTTTTCCAGAGCCCACGTGAAAGTGCTTCGTTGGAGAATGTGATTTATGACACCCTGGGAGGAGGGGGGGAAACAGGATCGTAGGTGAACAGTAAATTACGTAGGGCAGAGCCGACTGCAGTTGGGAAAAGTGCGGACATGTTGCTCCTAATAAATAATTTGATTTCTTTTGAAACTTGGCTCGAGGTTCGTGAATTAATTAGGGCGTCCGTCGGAACCCTGACACTGGGCTTCTTTCTCCATTTCCCCAGGTTTGATCATTGATGCCTTTGGGGAGTTGAGAGACCAGCAGGAGCAAGTGAAGGAGGACATGGAGGTACGCTGAATCACTTGTCGTTTTTAGCAGAATAACACAAGAGAGTTGGAAGGGACCTCGGAGGTCTTCTGGTCCAACCCCCCCCCCCAATCAAGCAGAAACTCCTACAACATTCCAGACAAATGATTGTCCAATCTCTTCTTTAAAAACTCTGGTGTTGGAGCCCCCACATCTTCTGGAAGTTTTTCTTCTTGGCTTTGTTCCCAGAGACATGTTTTTCACCTCTTTGTTTTGGGAGATGTAAATGATGGTATCTTTGATTGGTGGAACAATGGATTCACCCGTAGAAAGTCAGTCTACGAACAGAAAAAAAAAATGCTGTACAGGCACTTCTCGATATACACCACAGTTGCGACCAGGATTTCCATTGCTAAGGAAAGTGGGTGTTAAGAATCGCATTTTGTGACTGTTTTTCCCTTTTCTTCACCGCCCTTTGTTGTCCTCAACAGACCAAATGTTTCATCTGCGGGCTTGGCAGCGACTATTTTGACACGACGCCCCACGGTTTTGAGACCCACACGCTAGAGGAGCACAACCTGGCAAATTACATGTAAGCAAAGGACACGGGGGGGGGGGGAGGGGAAAGCGACGGCCGGGGTTTTCCTGGCCTTTATTGTGTAGCCTATAAGTTTCAGAAAAGCAGAAAACCATTCATTCAAACACTCTGAGAGGCAGATCCTTTTACTCAGGGGTGGAATTCGACCGGTTCGGACCGGTTCTATCGAGCCGGTAGTCGCGATGAGCAGCAGAGACCGAACCGTTTATCTCCACCGCTCTGCTGTTGGGCCCACCTGCCCGCACAGGCTCCCCTAGTCACCTTTATCCTCTGCTTTTGAAGAGCAACTGCTTTGCACGGCGCGGCAGAATGCCGTGCGGCAGCCGCTGAAGCGACCGGGAGAGCGCAGGCTTGCAGGAGGTGAGTTGGAATGCCTCTGCGTCTGCGCAAAGTACGCATTTGGCACACACATGCAAGCAAAGTGTGTGCATGCGTGCAAAACGCATCCACCAAGCCACACCCACTGAACCGATGGTAAAAAAATCTTTGAATCCCACCACTGGGTGGGATTCTACCGGTTCGGACCGGTTCGTGCAAACCCCTTGTTCCGATGCTCAGCTCGCTTCGAACCAGTTCGCTGCAAACGAGGAAGTGGTCCCGCCTGCCCGCCACTGCTTTCTTCTGTGCTTTCTGCCTTTGTTTAGAGCACAGCTGATTCACGCGGCAGAGCGATTTGCCGCGCCTCAGCTGTTTTCTTCACAGTGGCTGCAGTTGAAGGTAAGTATGGGCTTGCCTCTTTGAAATGCGGAGCGCGCGATCACCGAACCGGTTGTTATACCAGTGGAATCCCACCCCTGCCCTTACCAAGCAAGTAGGGCCCAAAGTCAGCCTTTAGAAGTAGTCCAGACCAGGGAACCAATGTTACTTAACCAATGTTACTACTTAACCAATGTTAAGTTGTGTATTAACACTAATACTGCTTTTATTATAAGGTTATGTAGACAAATCTTGCAAGTCACTTTCTCAAACTACATGTCTGCTTTGGACTCAGATTTCTCTTATCTGACCATTGCCTTATTTGCTAGGTGCTCTTCTTCTGCCTCACAAGTTATTGTCCTACGGTTCATTGGGGAGCTACAAGTGGAATTGCAGGAAGGGCGATAAGAGGAGCAATTTCCTCTTCCCCGGTCCTTTCAAACTTGTCCGCTTCCCAAGAGACAGCATTTCCCATCCCTTCAAAGGTGTTCCTCTGGGTACAACACACGTTTCTCTAAACCTGAAGATATGCTTGGCAACGATTCCTTTCCTCGCAAAGCTTTCCACGTCATTCCTTTCCCGACTTTCTTCCCCCTTGTAGGTTCTTCCTGATGTATCTCATCAATAAGGATGAAACGGAGCACACGGGCCAGGTGAGAGGACATCCTGAGGGTGCCCGGGGAGGGGGGGGGGAGGAAATTAAAACTCAATGTTTTGTCTTCATTTTTCTTCTTTTTAAATTATTTCTTTTAATAATATTTTTCTTTTTTCCCCCTCTTTTTTTCTTTTCTTTTGCTATTTTTTCCTTTTCTTTTTCTTCCCCCATTGTTTGAGGAACAATGACAAACAAGGGTGACACTAAATACTAAAGATGATATGTAGATCTTTATAGAGCTTTTCTTAAAAGATGATGTGACAAACCTATACATTTCATTCAATCATTCCTTCATGAAACGAGGAATTTTAAACGTTAGGATCATTGGAAATCCTTTGCTTGTTTACAAATATCTTATTCTCCATGCCTTGTGCCCTTTCTCCACTTTTTTTCTCCTTTGGGCAGCGATTTATTCCATAAATGTTTTTTAAAATGACATTATTACGGGTAGTCCTCTACTTACAACCATAACTGAGACAGAATTTCCACTGCTAAGCAAGGTGGTTGTTAAGGAAGTACCACCCTTTTTTTTCCACAACCTTGTTTGCCAAGGCTGTTATGCAAATCACTGCAGTTGTTAAGCAAATCATACCGTTGTTAAGCCAGTCCGGCTCCCCTCCATTGACTTGGCTTATTGGAAGCCAAAAGCAGCTCCGGTGGCCTAGTGGTGGAGCTCTCGCTTCACAATCAGGAGGCTGTGAGTTCGATCCTAGGTGGAGGCTAATATTTGGAGTAGGCTCTCCTGCTTGAGCAGGGGGTTGAACTAGATGACCTCCAAGGCCCCTTCCAACTCTGTTATTCTATGAAACTGGCAAAGGCAATTACGTGAGCCTGGGATTGTGATGACCCAAAGAGGCGTGGCACAACAGCAACAAAGTCACAAAAGTAGGTCAAGTCCCTTTAATTCCTCCAGCTTGGCCTCCAATGTCCAGTTATCATCGGCTGGAGAAAAAACTCTCCCAAGAACAGTTTTTAAAGGGAAGAAATTCAGTCCAAACCCAAAGTACACATAAATTATAAATAAAAACCAACACAAACCACGCTGCAGCAATTAATGAGACAAGGCAGGATAAGGAATTGAAGACTTCAAACGATAATGAAACACACACAGTCGGGAGGATGCCAGAACCCAGATAAGACTTGACAAACAAAGATAATTCACACTTTGCTTCCAGCAAGGTGCTGTGCGTAAATGCCCTTTTTAAATCCTGTTTTCCCAGCTGCAGCTAATGAAGGGAATCAGGGCCCTTTTCTCCCCCGTAACCCCCGTAACTCACATTGCTCCCTTCTCCGTTCCTCTCTGCATGCCCTAGGATGAAGAGGGGGTGGCCCTGGGTCTTCCTCTCAATGCCCAGCTGGACTGTGGCCTTCTCCAGTTTCCTCCACAGCCACCGGAGCCACGCTCCCACTCCCTGTCAGCTGCTTGACCTCCCCCTCGGAATCAGATTCCAACAAGGCCACGACAGGGATGCTGCAGCCATCCTTAAATCTATGCTAGTTTCCCAGCATCTGAATTTTGATCATGTAACCCCCGGGGAAATGCTGTGACGGTCGCTGTCCTAAATCCGTTGTAGCTTGGAAAGGTCACTCAACGAAACTGTTGTAAGCTGAGGACTCCCTGTAGCTGCTTTCTTTTTTTACCAGCTGGCTCCTGTGTTTTCTCTTTTGCAGGAATCCTACGTCTGGAAAATGTACCAAGAGCGCTGTTGGGATTTTTTCCCGGCTGGAGATTGCTTCCGCAAACAGTATGAAGACCAGCTCAGCTAGAGGCTCCCCCGGGCGAAGCGGGGGCAAAGGCAGCTGCCCTGGGTCCACCACCTTTGCCCCCTTCCTTCAACCCTAAAGAAAAGGGGAGGGGGATTCAGCACCAAAGCAGAGTGGGACAGCCTGGCTGACTGTCTTTTGTTTCAAGCTTGGGGAGAGCCGCCTCGTTCCCTCCCTCCACCCTCAAGTCATCACTCCTATGTCTTCTGCCTCTTGCTGCCAAGCCCCCTCCCCTCGGTGGAAGAGGTGGGTACTTCTGCCCCCCCCCACCCAACCCACCTCGCAAAATGCCCCCCACCTGCTTGGGCTAAGCCAGCCTCCCACTTGGCCAGTAACTCGTTCCAACTCTTTCTGGTCTCCTGGCGGCGTGGATGGTGGGGTTCGTGCAATAGGCTTTTTTCCAGGTTAAAGTCCCCCCCACCTCTTCCCAGTTTCAAGTGCCTTTTATTGGCCCTCACTCGCCCCCCCAGGAGAGGGGAGGGTCCCCCATACAGGGAAAGACTACTCTTCCGGATCCATCAGGAGAACGGAACAGGACAATTCGCCCTGTCCGACTCACCCTAAGACAACTCGTCGCAGGGCAATTTTAACCATTTGGTTTTAATTATTTAAAATGAATTTTTTTTAATATATATATATATAGTTTAATGTTTGCCCTTCCCACTTTGTTCTATCCCTCCTTTTGTATCCTTTCTTTAACAATCCCACCCCATTATTTCTTTGATATTAGCAGAACTCTTGTCTCGCGGCAACTTGTCCCGCGGCGGTGAGTTGGACGTGGCGAGTCAGGGCAGGGAGAAGTTGGGGCCGAGTTTGCTCCCGATTTCGCTCACCCAGCGTAGTCGGGTGCCAAAGAGATGCAGAGGGTCTCCAAGAAGAAGAAGGCAGCCCCCTCTGTCTCTCCCCTCCGTGACTTGAATTAACCCTCACACCTGGCCCTCCCTCTTGTGACGCTTAGGGTGGTGAGGGGGGGGTGTCTTCTCTTGCCCCATCTGTACCAGAAATCCCACCCAGTAGAGCCAGATGTGTGTGTGTGTGTGTGTTTGTGTGTGCATTGGGGCTGTGGGAGGCAACGGGCCCCGGCTCAGGAGGCTGCTGCGTCATCTTCCAGGATCCGCAGCAGTGGTGATAAGCTAGCGATTCGGACCGGTTGGTAGTCAAAGGAAGCCTCCCACGATCAGAGGAGGAAAACATCCTCTGACAATCAGCTGAAAGGAGAAGGAAAAGCACACAATCGGCCCTCCGACCGACCCCTGCGCTTTCCTCTCCTTTATCCCCTCCGCTGATTGGCGCTGCAGAGCCTCAGCTGGTGTGGGGAAAGCCGCGCCCGTCTGCGCGCCCAATCACCGAACTGGTAGTGGAAACAGGTAGGGTCCCACTGCTGATCCACATGGCCCTTGTGCTCAGAATTGGACCCCTTTGCCGTCCCCGATTTAATGGCCGTCCCCGCTGGACGTTTGAAGCCAGCTCTGTTGCGGGGGGATGCAGACCCCCCTCCGTGGCTCTCCCGCCCCTCAAGTCCAGCTTTGGTTCTCTCTGCCAATAAAACCATAGACTGCTGCAACCCTCCGAGTCGGCATCATCCTTCTGCAGAACCAACAAGTTGCAAAGCTGTTTTTCTTTACTTTTGTTTTTTTCCTGTTGTTTATTTATTCTGCATTTTTCACGAGTCTGCTTTCTGACCAGTGTGTGTGATTTATTGATTAGCTGTCCGCTGCAAATAGGCACAGATGCCAGCTTGGGATATCACATGACCCCCCCAAGCCATCCTGGCTTGGATGAATGGAGGCACCCCACCCCACCCTATATGTAAGGGATGTGTGAACAGAAAAGCTTGACTGAGAAGAGATTCAACAGAATAAGAGAGTCCAACCCCCTATCAAGCAGCAGACCCAGTGCCATTTCAGTCAAGCGGTTCTCCAATCTCTTCTCGTCTTAGAACATCAGACTTGGAAGGGACCTTGGAGGTCTTCTAGTCCAGCCCCTTGCTCAAGCAGGAGAGCCCTATACCACTTCAGATAAATGGCTGTCCGATCTCTTCTTGAAAGCCTCCAGTGATGGGGCACCCACAACATCCTGGGGGGTAACCGCTACTCAGGCAGGATCTGGCCATACACAACTTAGCCACATCCTGGATGTTCACAGATACATACATGCACACCGAGATACATCTTTCAGAGGAGAAGGTACATATGGGAAACAAAAACTGAACATATGTAAGGAGAAGCATAAAACCAAGGCATTGGTGTCCCTTGGTGCTTCGGGGTGAAGCTACTGAGGAGTTGGGCTGGACAGTTTCCCACTTCCAGCCCTGTCTTGCCAGTTTCCTGGGCAGCCCTGAAGATGGAGTCCCTTTCCCCGTCATTCGTTCTTCTTTGAGGAATCGGTTCCAGAGGGTGGGAAATGGTCAATCTGAGCAACCTGCAGGTTGAGGTTGAACTGTCATCATTCCGGCACATAGAGATTGCTGGTGGAATTCGGATTATTCACTGGTCGCGTCTCTAACACAATGGTGCTGGTGAGGAAGGAGAAGAGAAAAGACAAGAATTAGGTGGGCACCCTGGAGGAGGATGTTTGGTGGTTGTGGATTGGCCGTGCTTGCTGAGAAGGTTGGGGAGAATGGAGACCACGGGATGAAGAAGGTGGTCTCAAAAGAGCCAAAGAAAAGGAGTTCCTCTTATTCAGTACAGGACCCACGCAAGGAAATTGGAAGGAGTGGCTAAGTTCTGAAGGCCACAAAGGAGTGGAGCGAGTTGCACAGGTGGGAGAAGTACAGAGATGAGGTTGCAGGTCTTCAAACCTGGAGGCTCCCAGTAGGCGGAAGGTCCACCGTTGATCCTGCAGCTTCTGTGCTACCTGAGAAGAAACATTGGATCAGGATGAAGGGTTACAGATGCCTCTTAAGTGAGCCTCTTGCTAAGAATCATTGGACCACAAATCAGGAACAAGGTAAATGAGATGCTCTCATTGCTGGAGAACACTGTGGAATACCATGGAGGAGTTATCTTGGGCTCTTCTCCCACCACCATCCTTGGCATAAAATCCCAAGATGACCAACCACACCATGTTGAAAACACAACTTCTCCTTTACCTGCCCTGATCCAAGCGGCCGTGTCTGCACACCATGGCGCCAAAATGCATGCACGCAGTTCTGCACCAGTGCTGGAGACAGAAGAAGTGAAGAAGTTCAGGTCCTGCCACCGTGACTTACTCCCCATTTCATAAAAGCTGCTCAGGTGTTGGACGTGCCTCCCCCCGCGAAGCGGAATGGGGGAGTGAATCCTTCAAAAGTGGGCTAGCATCCCTCAAAGTAAAGGATGACTCAACCTTAACGCAAAGCAAGATTGGTCCCATCTTTGAGAAGCACCCAGCCTGGCAGGGAGGAGGAATCAAGCATGGAGATAGCCTGGAGTCATTGTGCAACCACAAAACTGCTAACTGACCCTGCCTAAGTTCCTTGGAGCCTTATCTATTTGTTCCCAAGAGGAAGGAGACTGCCAGTGTGGGGAGATTCCTGTATTATAGGCAGAACATAATAAAATAGTTAGGTTGAGCTCTGTGTCAGAATTCCAGCAATCACCCTAATTAAATCATGAGCCTCAGGCCAAACTTCAAAAAACTTTAAAGGATTTATTAGGAGCGACATACTGGCATGATCTGTATGAAACCAACTCTGAGATACGTAATTTACAATCGCCTATGACCCTGTTTCCCCCCACCCCCCTGGGTGTTTCATAATTCAGATTGTCCAACGGAACACGTTCATGAGCTGGTTGTCATCAATCAGGCTCTCCAATAGAGGATTTTTGCGCCCAGAATACCCGGTTGCTTCAGTTACAATCTTTGTGAGATACGCTTGGAATGTGCTTCTGAGTTCATTTGCCATATGCTCCTTCAGGGTTCCCTCCTCTCTTTCTTATGACAACTTGGAAACCGGAATGTTTTACAAGTTGACACTCTGCATATCTGGATCTGGTTATTAAAACCTGACGCATCTCAATACTCATGACAGACAAGCCAACACACTCGCCCAAGCACCATCACAACAATCAGAGACTCCCAGGCAGAATTTGGTTAGAGAAGAAGGTTAGATTAGATCTCTTTCTCCATCAAGGTCAGAGATGCTCTGGAGATGTCAACCTGTCCTTCCTCTAAGACCCGAAAGGAGCATCAGATGATGGAGATGAGGCAACTGGAAGAGGAGGAAGTACTGAATAGGGTGGAGAAAAGGAACTCACCGACTGACTCCACAGCTACGTCGAAGGTGAGTTTTGGTGGAGATCCAAGCAGTGCTCCTCGGGGACTGACAAACTGGATGCATCCTGGGAAACAAACCAAAAACGCATTGGCCCCAGCAGGAACGGTCCCTCCTCACAGTCCTGACCAGCCAAGGGGCCACCTGGCTTCTACTTACCATCCATCAAAACCATCACTGTCTTGTTATCCAACTGAGTCACCTGGACGAAGCCACAGCAGGAAGGTTCTGTGGACAAACAAATGCATTGTTCAGAACCACAGCTAGGTATTCGTTTAAAGACTGCTTTTGATACTTAAAAGAGTTCCTTCCGGAAGACCTTCAACCTAATGGAGAAGGTGGCCTTTTGGTCTAGACTAAGGGTCTTCAAACTTGACAGCTTTAAGACTTGTGGACTTCAACTCCCAGAATTCCTGAGCTAATATGACTGGAGGAGGAATTCTGGGAGTTGACGTCCACAAGTCTTAAAACTGTCAAGTTTGAAGACCCCTGGTCTAGACAAAGAAGGAATGAACTGGTGTAACCTTTCTCCTCCTCCTTCTGCCATATCCGTCATCGAACGTTGGCGATCATATTGGCGATTCTATTTTTATCAACAGCCGCACAAAAAAGTGCTGTTGAGTTTTGTCCCAACCTGTCCCTTAGATTTTGAAGCCATGTTTTTCTTCTGCGTGGACCTTGTTTGCCTTCAGTCTTTCCTTGGAGGAGGATTAAGTGAAATATGTACCGTGTTTTTCCAGGTGTTGCATCCCATGTCCACAAAATATTCCAACTTTCTCTTTTTTCTGGTTTTGATTATTTCCCTTGGCTTATCACCTCCTCATTTCTGATTTTGTCAACCCAACTTATATGTAACAGCTGCCTATAAATCCACATTTGAAATGCTTCTCGTCTCTTCAAGACCAATTCTCTGAAAAGACGTAACATCTGACAAGCCTGATTTTCAAACTTAGGCTTACGTCGTGACCGCAGAAGACCTTTCTACTGAAGTTCTATCTTATTATTGCCCATCCTAAAGAATGTGCCACAGCAGATATGAAGACTCCACCCACGAATGTCAAATGAACCCCCAAATGACTTAGAATCCATCCTAGGATTCAGCTGAGGGGGGAAAAAAGAAATCGGGATATTCAAAACCAGAATACTCACCGCTTTTGTCGCTGATAAACCAGGAGGTTAAGGAATTGAGGTTAATGACTTGGAACTGCACAGCTTGTCCCGGGGGGCCCTTGCTCACACCAATGCAGACCACCGGATATTCCTCATCAGGGTTTATCAGCATCTCGAAGATGGGCAGCAAGGGAGGCAGGGGAAAATCAAAGTACTATCCAAGGAGAAGAAGAGAAGGATTTCCTGAATGGGGTTGATGCCCTCAAAAGTGTTGTCTCCGTCATCGGGAGTACCTGTACTAATAGCCACCTATCAAGTAGACCAGACTAGGAGACCATAGTCATGCGGACTAATACGGTTAATCCTCAACAGAAGAACCTATACAGTTCTGGACAAATAGCTGTCCAGTCTCTTCTTAAAATCCTCCAGGATTGGAGCATTCACAACTTTTGAAGGCAAGTCATTCCACTGGTTAATGGTTCTCACAGTTAGGAAATTTCTCCTTAGTTCCAGGTTGCTTCTCTCCTTGATTGGTTTCCATCCGTTGCTTCTTGTCAGGTGCTTTGGAGAATTGATTGACCCTCTCCTCCTCTCTGGGGCAGTCCCTCAAATATTGGAAGACTGCTATCATGTCCCCCCCTAGTCCTTCTCTTCCTTAAACCAGACATACCCAGTTCCTGCAACCGTTTGTCGTATGGTTTAGCCTCCAGTCCCTTAATCGTCTTTGCTGCTCTTTGCACTCTTTCTAGAATCTCAACATGGTTTGTTTTTTTAGAATTATGGTCACCAAAACTGGATGTAGTATTGCAAATGTGGTCTCCCCAGTGCAAAAGAGAGCATGCTTTCAATTGTCGCCCAGAAGGAATTAATCATGTCCTGAAAAATGGGAAAACCCTGGCATCCCAAAATAGTTTCAATAATACAATTCAATAATAGTGAGAGACCTTCATAGAGCATGTGTTGTGGCCCACTAGCAGCAGATTCAGACAGTGAGGAGGTTGGGGAGGGACATGGGCCAGTCCTGGAGTCTGGGGAAGTCTCGGACAAGGGCTCTGCGTCAGAGGCAGAAATGGGGCCAGAGCCATCTGACAGTTATCAGCTGCCTTTGGAGTCGGAGATCAGTGGGGCAGAAGAACAGCTGGAGCCTGTTCCCAGTGTGCGCATGCACAGAGCTGCCAGACGAAGGGAACCGCTGAGGAACAATGGTCGGCTCAGGAGTAAAGCCACAGGTGGACGGTGAATGGCCTCTCCCATAGGGAATAAAAGAGTGAAAGTGGAGTGGTGTTTGCAGGAGACAATTAGTTCAATTCATTAGGGTGAAGATCTTGTTCCTGGCTCCTTGCCACGTATTGTCTGCTACAGAGTGGCGTCTGGAAGATAATGGCCTGGCAGCTCTCCAAGCCTGATGAAGGCCCGTAGTTGTGAAATCTCTTGAAAGATTGTTGGCCAGGACTTTGCTGGAGAGGAATTCACTTCAAACTAAATAAAAGGGGTTTTATCGGGACGAGGAGCATGCACAGGGTGGGAAAGAGGTGTTCTCCATTGCTTGGCACCCACCTGTCAATTGCACCCGATGTGCTAAATGTGCAAACAAACAACCTAGCCAACTAAGCTATCAGACACACAACATGGCTCTCTCTTCCTTGGGATGCCCACCTTGACCCTGGCAAGGAGATGCTTCCTCTGGCAGAGGACTCGGGCTCTTACCTTGACCAGCATGAATTTCTGCATGGGTTCATACCATTGGAGGAGAACAACCCCTGCCTCCAAGGCTCCGCAGAGGAAGTGGCAACTGTTCTGGGTGTTCTTGGCTGCAAGAAAGGGGGAGAGAAGGTGCTGTATTGGATGCTAGGCAGGACAACGGAGTGGGGGGGGAGGAGAGGAGTGGCCAGCCGTGGTGGCTGTGACCGTCCCTAGGATTGGCATTCAAAGCACCTGTGCAACATTTCTGGCATCCCTTCGTGTCGGGGATCTTGGTGGTGATGATGTTTTTCCTAGAGGGAAGGAAGGAGAGGAAAGAGATGCGTTGGTTATGGAGGGATATGGGGTTGCCTTTTAGGACTGTCCTACAGAGTGTCCCTCAACTCTGGCAACTTCTTTAAGAAGTCTGGACTTCACCAAGACTTCTCCCACCAACAGAACTAGCCACTTGTATAAGAACAGAGGAAAAAACCCTGCTCCCTTCTAGCACTGTTGATGTTACCTAGCTGGGTCAAGAAATGTCTGCAAGACAACCATCAAGCTCAGAGAGCACCAATGACCCTACAGTCCTCCTCCTCCTTCTCTTCCTCCTCCTTCTCCTCTCTGCAAACCCCACTCCCTTCTAGCACTGATGATATTACCTAGTTGGGTCACAAAAAGCTTGCAAGAAAACCACTAAGCTCAAGAAAGTACCTAGGACCTCACAGTCCCCCTCCTTCTCCTCTCTGCAAACCCCACTCCCTTCTAACACCGATGATGTTACCTAGTTGGGTCACGAAAAGTCTGCAAGAAAACAACCAGAGCTCCAAGGACCCTGCCGAAAATAACCTGTTGAACCTCCAGCCAGCCAGGTTGCTAAAGACCTCTTCCAGATAAAGAGATTTGACCATTCTCGCATCTAAATGATTCCTGAAGAATTAAGGAAGTGGGTAAGAAAAAAAAAGACACTGTTCCGGTGATGGGTTCACCTGGGTAATAGTCGGTGTGGAGAAAGGGATACTCCCAGGCGCTGGTCTCTCTTGCTCTGCTCGTGCAGACTGAGTAAATTGTGGGAAAAGAGTTGGGGTACCTTGCCTGAACAGAAGGGAAAAGAAAACCTATTGAGATTAATTGAGTTATACAGCAAGTCCTCGATTTACGACCATTCATTTAGTCATCATCATCATCTTTTAATGACTCCATAATCCCTTGTGGGGTGGAGTCTTGGCAACTGGATGGAACTGAGTGTTAGCTGGCTGGATGCCCTTCCTGTCACCAGGGCGGAGTTTTGCTTCAGCACATATATTCTCATTGTGCCCAGAGAGAGAAATATCTGCGTCTCCCTAGGATCGAAATCACAGCCTCCTGATTGTGAGGCGAGAGCTCCCCCTCTAGGCTATCACACCACTCTACAACCATTTAGCGACTGTTCGAAATTACAACGGCGCTGAAAAAAGCGACTTAGAACAATTCTCACACTTATTACATTGCAGTATCTCATTAATGACATGATCTGAATTCAGAGGCTTGGCAACTTGGTATGTATCTATGACGGTTGAAGTGTCCAAGGACCACACGCGTTATCACCATTTGCTGACATTCTGTTCTGACCCAACCGGGTTCCCAAAGAACAAACACAGACAAAGGCAGAAGCCCCCACCTTTCAAGGTTTAATCACGAATGCTGTTCCTTTACAGACAAAAGGCTGCTTTCCAACCATTAGCTCCGACAAGAAAGAGCCTTGCCAAGTTGTTTGTCAAGGCTGCCAACAACCCAGAGATAAGAACTAATTTGCAAGATTCTCCAAACACAAACTAATATGTCCACCAGTTGAGCTTAAGAGCTTCTTTGCTGTCTGCAAAGAACGCTTTTCCAAACCTAGTTTTATCCTCTTGAGGAAGGGGCCATTACCTTGCAGCCTTACTCTCGAGTCGCCTGTGCTGCTGTAATTGTTCTTTCCTCCGAGCAATCCTTTGTGCACGTGCGCTTGGCACAGGCTCCTTGGGAACCTCCTCATCACTGCTGCCAGCCCCCACAATCTCTGAAGGCAGCAGTTCACTCCCTGATGGTCCTGGCCCTTCATCAGAGTCCTCACTCTCCTCAGCCATCTGCACCTGCTGCCAGCTAACCACAACACGTTCCTAGCCAGTTCCGGCAAGGAAAATTACCGGCGCACCTCATTTAACAAGCGCCTTACTTAACAACAGAAGTGCCAGTTACAATTGTGGTTCTGGATTATGGCTAACTGGGTACAAATGATTAGAGATTCTGTTCAGGCCTTGGGACTTAAATTTTGCAAGAGGAATGGGTCTGTATTTGCAGAATTGCCACAAGCACCTTTAAGAGTCCTTAGTAATGCACCTCCGAGGTGGTTCTACTACAATTTCACTTTGTTTTTCAAATGCTCTTTCCATCCCTCTCATTCTCTTGGGTGTTGATTTCTTTTAACTTCAGGTGGCTTTTATGGTCTTTCAGTTACCGCTTTCTCAAGACGGCTTTTTTAAAAACGGGAGGCAAAGAGAACAAAACAAAATACAAAGAGTAAAAAAAAAGAGGAAATTGTTTGAACAGCAGGTTGGTCTCCAGATATTAGCCAGCTGATTGATTTTATTACCACTTCCTGAATTTTGCAGATAAAAACGTTGAAAGGCACACAAAGTAAAAAAAAAAAAACTTTTAAAAATGTAAAATATATATATATATATATCATCGGTTAGCAATCTACCCAATGAAAACTCTGTGCTTAAGTCATTTAAGAGGAAGTGTATCTTTCTTTACAGGAAGAAATGGGGTTTTTTAGTTTGTTTTTAGCACAGAGTACTGTTTTTCAGCCTAAGCCACTTCAACTCCCAGAATTCATGCTGGCCAGAGAATTCTGGGAGTTGGTCCAAACATGGTAGCTCAGGAATTCTGGGAGTTGAAGTCCACACATTTTAAAGTGGACACAGTTGAGAAGCACAGATATATAGAGAAAAAAGCTCATGGGAACTCAAGCTTTTCTGGCTTTTAAAACCAAGTTTTCATGGCTTGAGGGGATTTTCCTACTTCCTCTCTCGTTTTCAACAAAAAGTTAGAAAAAATATTGACTGAACTCTTTGACACTCCAGAAGCAGGTCGGGGGAAACATCTGCCACCCTTGGCTGGGAACTGCTGGTCCTGATGGCTGGGGCTTATGGGAATTGGAGTCAGTTTGATATTTGGGTTGGGGACAGCGACAGGGGGGGAGCGGGTTCATTTCTTCCAGCCTTGAATTCAAAAATGTCAACGTGGGCAAAAAAATTGAGACCTACAGGTGATATTTGCCATAAGGACCTATGCGCCACCATTCTGAGCTCTGCAGAATTTGCTTGGTATCGCTTTCTCTTCTCCACAAAATCACCTTTTTCTCTGCTGCATCACACGTGCACTTTTCTCCTCGGGGGGAGGGGGGCCACCAAAATCCAGCTTTCTGCTTCCTTCACTTCCTGCCTACTTCAGAACGGCTAAGTTCAAACAGTAGATGCACCCAGATCAGTTGCAATCTAGCAGCAACCTTGCTGTCAGCCAATGGCCCATATTTCATGGGCGTGTTGGACTTCGTGCAACAAGGTCTATGGTGGCTAATCTTTTTCGGCTCCCGGGCTGAAAACTGGGCGCACGCTTGCACGCACACACTCTCCTCTCTATGACAACCCCTCAAAGATTGGAACACTGCTATCATTGTCACCCCTGGTCCCTAGATTTAAAGGTAAAAGTTCTCCTTGCACATAACGTGCTAGTTGTTTCCAGCTCTAGTGGGCGGTGCTCACCTCCGTCACAGAGCCGAAGAGCTAGCTCTGTCCAGAGACGTCTCCGTGTGGCCGGCAGGACTAAATGCCTTTGAAGGTGCACGGAACGCTGTTCCCTTCCCACCAAAGGGGTCCCTCTTTTTCTACTTGCATTTTTTTTATGTGATTTTGAACTGCTAGGTTGGCAGAAGCTGGGACCAATAACGGGAGCTCCCTCCGTCACGCAGTGCTAGCGATTCGGACCGCCGACCTTCCCGATCGACAAGCTCAGCGTCTTAGCCACTGAGCCACCACGTCCCTAGATTAAATCTACCCAATTCCTGCAGCCATTCTTCATGTGTTTTAGCCTCCAGGCCCCTAATCCTCTTTGTTGCTCTTCTCTGCGCTTTCTGCAACGTACCTGAAAGTGACATGAGAACATTCCCCATGCAATAGACCCACGTCGTTCGGCTGTGATAAAGCTTGAGAAAGGGAGAAGGACGAAAAAAAGAAGAATGATGATGTTCTTCAAAGCAAGCCAAGAAACGGAATTCTCCCTTCTGTCATTCAGAACCGTTCCGGCCACCCCGTCAATCTCACCAGTTCTAGAGCGGGTTCCGCCTCCTTCCGGTTCAAGGCGAAGATTCCTTCTTCAGCCCCCAGAATTAAGTGCAGCTCTGGAAAATAGGGAGGAAATTCAAGATTAAGGTGGGTCCACATGCCATCATCCAGTGGGTGTCTACTCTTAGAGGCCACATAAGTAGATGCTCTCCATGAATCTCTTGTCTCTAAACTTGGGCCATCAGGTCTTCCAAAGGTCCAGATTGCCGCCAGAGAGAGGCATATTTGTCCTTCTCCATCTTCGCTGAGTCTTTGCACCACCTGAATTTTAGGTCGGTACTGGAACTCAGCACCCCGGACAGCACCCCTTTCAAGGTGCTAGGAGCTATTTAGAGATTCGGGATAATGTCAGCGTTCCAGAAAACCTCCACTCCAAGAAATAACTCCGAGACAAACATCCTCTCGAAAGTTCTGTTTTACCATCCATCCCAACTTGAGACTTCCCCTCACCCAGATGCAGAGACAACATGACCTTGACTTAAAAAAAGAATGCTATTATGTCTAACCACATACACTCCCAAGAAATTCCCCCCTCCCGTTTTCCCGAAGAAGAGGAAGAGGAAGAAGAACAAGAAGAGGAGGAGGAGGAGGAGGGAGGAAGGAGGAGGAGGAGGAGGAGGAGGAGGAGGAGGAGGAAGAAGAAGAAGAGGAGGAGGAGGAGGAGGACATGCCCATCTAGTCACATGGCCATTCCCACCTAGCCACGCCCACAGAACCAGTAGTAAAAATATTTGCATCCCACTCGTGGTGCCATTGTAACTTCAAACGATCCCTGAACGAATGGTTGTAAGTCATGTATGTGCCTTTGTGCATATGTCTGTGTGTGTGTGAGAGAGAGAGATTTCAGAAGGAATGAGAAAAATTGTGGATTTCATTGTCGAATTTTCACCTGAGGAATGTGGAAAAAGGGGGTCATAAGTCACTTTTCAGTGCCCATTATAACTTGGAAAAGTCACTAAACAAACTGTTGTAAGTCAGGGACCACCTGTAGTCAGTCTCATACACACGCACACGCACACGTACAAATGATGTTCAGAAGAACTCGTCCTAGATTGAGGGAGCCATCCTGGAGCTCCGTTGCAAACCGGGTGATTATTTCTAGCTCATTTTTTTTAGATCTAGTCACCCTGCAAGGGCAGATTAGTAGAGTCTTTTAGGCCTGGGGAGCAATGGGCAAGACAGAGGACCTCACCTGGACGAGATGCTGCTCACCTGGTCTGCAGAAGGGACCGATGCATTCCCGCCCCTCCCGCCGGCCCCTCCCCCAGCTCTGCTCCCGGCCTACCGTTGGTGTGCGGATGGGTCCAGGCGGTGGCCGAGGTGAGGCGCAAGGGACACTCGTTGAAGACTTTCTTGAAGAGGGCCCTGTCCTGTGGAGGAGAAACAGGCATGAACGAGCTCACCTGGGAGGAACAGGTGTGCCTCCTGGCCCTCAGGGGATTCTCACCTCCTGGTGGCACCTGTTCCCCTTTTAATTTCACACGCCCCCAGTGATTCCCAAACTGGTTTAAAGTATGTTGGAGGGGAAGAGGAGGAAATGGAGGAGAAGATGGGGAAGGAGAAGGAAAGAGGGAAAGGAGGAAAAGGAAAGTGAAGGAGAAAGGGGAGGAGAGGAGGAGAGGAGAAAGAGAAAATGGAGAAGGCGGAGAAGGAGAAGGAA